GACTTTGATTGTGCATTACTGCATAGTCCATTTTAAATGGGGTGCATCCCATACATTGTTCAATACAACTTAAAGTGTAAAATTATTATGGCCATAGAGTGGTACTGGTTTCTAGGTTAAATTCAAAGTCATGTAATTTTTATTGCACTTTTCTTTATAGTCATTTGTGAAAACTCTTCTACCTTCTGTCCTTCTTTAGCTGCACAGTGGGGAACTTAATGCCCATCCAAAAAGGGTAACAAAACCATTTATTAGAGCGGCGAATTATCTGGAGTTAGTTGGCTCCCTCACCCACTTACCTTCTTGCTTAGGATATCATATGTTTCTTTTAAGTAGTGTGTGATTACGTGATTCACATTTCTTTTTTTTTGTTTTTGTTTTTGTTTTGTTTTTGTTTTTGTTTTTGTTTTGAGACGGAGTCTCGCTCTGTCGCCCAGGCTGGAGTGCAGTGGCGCGATCTCGGCTCACTGCAAGCTCCGCCTCCCGGGTTCACGCCATTCTCCTGCCTCAGCCTCCCGAGTAGCTGGGACTACAGGCGGCCGCCACCTCGCCCGGCTAGTTTTTTGTATTTTTTAGTAGAGATGGGGTTTCATCGTGTTAGCCAAGATGGTCTCGATCTCCTGACCTCGTGATCCGCCCGTCTCGGCCTCCCAAAGTGGTGGGATTACAGGCTTGAGCCACTGCGCCCGGCCGTAATTCACATTTCTAAACATCAGAAATGAGGGAAAATTAGTCCATCTTAAAACATTATATCCCCCCATTTGACCTTCAAGTCTCCCTGTCTTTCCCCCTCCCCCAACCAATGACAACCTCTAAGTGTTCTTTATCCCTGTAACTATGTGATTTCATGAATGTCATATAGAAGGGATTCTATAGTATGTACGCTTTTCAGGGTGACATTTTCATGCAGCATAATTTCCTTGAAGTTGTCGTGTGTATCAATAGTCTGTCCCACTTCATTGCTGAGAAGTATTGTAGGCTATGGATGTGCCACAATTTGTTGAATCATTCACACATTGAAGGACATTTGGGTAGTTTCCAGGTTTGAGGTTATTACAGACAAAACTGCTGTGAACATTTGTGGACAAGTTTCTGCGTGAAAATAAGTTTCCATTTCTCTGGGATACATGCCCAAGAGTGCAATTACCGGGTCATATGGTAAGTCCATTTTTAGTTTGAAAAGGAACTGCCAAACTATTTTCTGAAGTGGCTGCACCATTTTACCTTCCTGCTAGAAGTGTATGAAGGGTTCTAGTCTCTTTACATCCTCATCAGCACTTGTTCTCATCTGTCCTTTTGCTTGTAGCCATCCTAGTGGGTGTAAAGTGGTATCTCATTGTAGTTTTGATTTGCTTTTCCCTAATGACTATTGACGTTGAATATCTTTTCATGTGTTTATCGGCACTTTATGTGTCTTCTTTGGAAAAAAGTTTATTCAAATCCTTAGCCTCTTTTAAAATTGTATTATTTGTCTTTTTATTGTTGAGTCAGAAGAGTTCTTTATGTATTCTAGATGAAAGTCCCTTATCATATATATGATTGGCAAATACGTTCCCCCCCCCCCTTTTTTTTTTTTGAGATAGAGTTTCACTCTTGTTGCCCTGGCTGGAGTGCAATGGCACTATCTCGGCTCACTGCAGCCTCCACCTCCCAAATTCAAGTAATTCTTCTTTCTCAGCCTCCCAAGTAGCTGGGATTACAGGCATGTGCCACCATGCCCGGCTAATTTTGTATTTTCAGTAGAGACATGGTTTCACCATGTTGGCCAGGCTGGTTTCAATCTCCTAACCTCAGGTGATCTGCCTGCCTCGGCCTCCCAAAGTGCTAGGATTACACATGTGAACCACTGTGCCCGGCCCATTCTCTCTTTCTGTAGGCTCTTTTTCACTTTCTTGATGGGACCTGGGGGGACTGAAAGCCCAGCCTCCCTGACTGCACTGCCCCAGAGTAAAGCTCCTGTAAGGCGGAGCTAGTAGGGGTTGGTCATGGAACAGGTCAGGGACCAGTTGCCACAGACTCTCATGGTTCTTGCCAAGATTTGGTAGATTTTCTTGGATGACTGTTTCTCTATTTGTCGTTATCCCCTTAGGACAATTCTCAGAGACTTAAAATGTTTTTATGATTGTTACTAAATTGTTGTTTTGCTGGGGAGAGTGTCCACAGAGTTCTTTGTGTTTCTTCTGGAAGGTGGGCCTTCTATAATCTCCTCTTGTCATGCAAATACTCCCAAGAGATGTTTATATCTTCAATTCTCATCTCATCAGCATTTTCTCATTGTCAGGTGCTTCTTTGGTAGCTCCGGCAACTAGAGAAGACCTTCTCTGGACTCCATCTGTTCACATGGGATAGTGTCTGAAACATAATATTTCTTGAAAGAATGAATGAATAAATGAGTGGATTTAAGCATCTACTAGGAGGTTGATGTGCAGTGTGAAAGAGCATCACAATGGACTGAGTGGGAGAGGACCAAGCATGCGGTCAAACTAGAATTGTTGTCTGCCCACTTGTGGGGCATCATTCTTCCTTCAGGTAGAACATGTTAGTTATTCATAGACTCACTGTCCAGAGAGCAGAAGAGAGAGGCTGGTTCACGGGCTGAGCATGCTTAGAAATCTGAATGAAAATCATTGTTCTAAGGTAGGAGTGTATGTGTTCTGTATGAGCCTCTATGTGAATATACACATATGTTAGACATGCACAGCATACATATGAACAGATATGTATATGTATACATATACATACATATATGGGTATGGAATTGTGTACATATACATATACATATAATGGGTATGGAAACCCAAGCAGTGGGATATTCTTAAAGGACATTCCTCTTTCTTCTGTAAAAATGATAAGATAAAGAATAATCGAATACTAAAACTGAATCTATGGTCATCTAGCCCAATTATTTCATTTTGCAGATGAGGAAGCAGATAGAAAACTCATGGGTTTTATTAAGTTTCACAGCTACCTAGTGGTTTCCTAATTCCTGCAAGGGTATTCTTCCCACAGCTCAAATTACCTGTTACGTGAAGGAATACAAGCTTCGATCATGTCAACCTTACTTGCTATATCAGCAAATAGTCCTTCTATATAACCATTTAAGCAACCTACTATAACTGTCATTTTAATTTTTCCTATAAGTTTTCTGCCCTTCCTCTTCCTCCACACATTCCCTAAAGTAAATTCTGCAACTAGCAACTTTGAAACTTGTTACAATGCAGAACATTAATAGGATTTTACATTTTTCGTAGGCTAATGATGAGGATGTAGGACCTTCTGTGCTAGTCCCTCAGGGGTTTCTATTCTGGGCACTTATTAAATCTTGCTGTAGTCTGAAGTATATTCGACCTTTCTGAATTAAAAAAAAAATCAGCTTAAACTTTATTCATATATTTTTGTGAGAGTGTGTGTGTGTGTGTACACATTTCTCTCTTCTCCATCTATTAGGCAGAGATTCAGACATTATCAACATTTGAACTTGAATATATTTGTCAACCATTTTCCTGTGTTTGATGAGGAAGAAGAAATCACTACCATCTAATTTATTATTATTTTTATATTTAACTAAATTCAGGCCTTCCTAAAAATCTTTTTTACTTTGAAGTCTATTTTGCAATTTAATTAATGCAGCAAAGGTTTTAGAAAATTTTTACTCTCAATGGAGATAATCTTAATCCATTCACGGTGACCTTTTCTTGTGCAAATTAGTTGTACACGCTTGTTTAAGCAAATGGTCCTTTGCATGATGTCTCTTCTTAATGACGGGTTTATAATTGAAAATTGGCTTACTCCCGTATGCCTAGTTTGTATGAGAATGTAAAAATAGATGTGGACTTTAAAAATATAAATGTATATACCAATATTCCAAAAAGAAGAGGGAAGAATTCAGTGCCTTTAGGCTATGATTAAATTAGACTATTAGAGTCAGAAAATGGTGGTGACATATGCTACTGTCAAAGTCACACCTGTCTGCTCAGCATTGGAAGCTCTTGAAAAATGAGAGTGATTTCATCTTGGCTGTAAGAATCGGGGCCTTTACAGGACACGAGCCATCTCTACCTTCCCAAGTTTTCTTAAACTCATAATGTACTTGAAACTGCCTATGTTGGAATGTGTTTGTGGTAATCATTTTAAAAGTGACAGTCCTAAACAACATGAAATGCTTTTTATCTTTCTTAAACTTCCCTGGTGTAAAGAGTCAGGTAACACTCATATTTTGTATTTTTTTTTCAAAATACAAAAACAATGTAATGTCATTAAATGGTATTTGAGTAACATAACTCATCTCTTCTGTAGACCAGTTTCCAGTACCCCGTACTATTTCAGGCTTTTTCTTTTCTTTTCTTTTCTTTTCTCGTTATTCTTTTTTTCCCTTTCTTAGGCTAGCATCCCTCTCTCTCACCTCCTCTTTCTCCTGTAAGTTATGTCGGCCATTCTTAAACAGGAACATTTTTCCTGGGTAACGGATTGTTCTTGGTTAAGTGTAGAAACTCCGTCTTGAAGGAGAAGACAAATATTGTTTTGTGCTTGTGACTGAGGTTTTCTGAATAGTTTTTGATAGCATGATTTTGAAGGGGTAGGGAACAAGAACAGTCTTAGTTTTGCTGAATGCCATATTGTTAAAGGAGAAGGAGAAGCACCAGTAATTTTTTTCTTCTTCTTTTTAAGCCTATGGGGCAACATATTTTATCAAGACCCAAAAATCTGATTTTGGAAGCAAAGACTGGGCAAACCAAATTGTTGCCAGAATGATCAGGCTCGTCTTTATATATACTGCTTGCAAAAGGGATCCTAATTGCTTTGTCCAACATGGTGATTCATGTTTGTTCTTCACGCAGCAACCCAACCTCCTTCCTCAAAATGGAAAAACGAGAGCTGCCTGCTGGTGACTTTCCCAAGTTGCTTTGCGTAAATTCACGCACATGGACGCCCACCTATGGTCAACATCCCCACATTTGCAATAGGTCTTCATTTGCTGATTACTCCTCTTCTCTTTCTAGGTATGATTATCGGGAAATGCTGCACAATGCCACTTTCTGTCTGGTTCCTCGTGGTCGCAGGCTTGGGTCCTTCAGATTCCTGGAGGCTTTGCAGGTAAGAGGCCCTGGAGCCTTCCCAGAATAGGGCTGAGGACCGAAGCCAGACTAAGCGGGTTTAACATTATCACCTCTCCTGCGATAGCTAAAGAGAAGGTGTGGTTTCCCTTGAGGATCTGAAAATATTTTCAAGAAAATCTAAAACATTTTTGAAAAGTAGGGGGTGGAGGGAGGATTTACTCAGTAATTTTAGATGTAAGAAATTAAATGGTGGATTCTTCTGGGTCATGTTTAGAAACAGAAGGCAAATCTGATTACCAACTTGGACAATCTCTGTCACCTCCTCTTTCTCCTGTAAGTTATGTCAACCATTCTTAAACAGGAATATTTTTCCTGGGTAACTGAATGTTCCAGCCTAGCTGGACTCTAAAAAGCAGCCCTACTCTTTCCCTTTATTCCCGAAAAGCAAAATTGTCTTTTATGCCTGCATCTTAATTGTCTCTCAGTTCCTTTAAATTTTGAGAATGATCCCTAGCATGGTGTTACTACTCAGATGGCCAGCTCTTCCAAGGCTCTGCAGTTCAGAGGTCCTGGCTCCACCCCTGGAGCCTTTGTGGTAGGAATTTCTCAGCTTATCAACCTCACTCTGCAGAAATGTCCTCTTGAGACAGTCGTCCACATTTCCCACCTGGAAGTTGCAACCAGCCTTCTTTGATTGCAAGAGAAAGCATGCCCTCAACCTCTCTCATCCTCCATTCCTTGACCCTTTGCTGCTGTGTTCTTTCCTCCTCTATTCCCTGCACCATGCCTAAAGCTGTGCTTTTGCTACAGTGCTTCATAACTTCTTATCTCTGCCATCTTAACTGCAAATCATTCTGTCATGCCCTCCAACAGAAGAGCTTCCTTCTCTGGAATGTCTTTTCCAAGTTGCTCTCCGTGTGTGTTCTGCATAGCATGCCATCACTCATGTTCTTGTAGCCTCCTGGGATGTTGCATAAAGAAAAATTGTTCTCTGATTTGGATTATGAGTTATTTGGAATCAGTATTTTGTCATTAACCTAGTGTTTCTTGGCTGTTTATTTCCCGGCACAGACTGTAAATTGGTATGACTGTGGTTTAGATCACTCCACACTGAAGGGAACAAAGTTCTGGTTTAGGTGTTTGCAGAACAAGGGAAATGTGAACACTCTATACTGTTAAGTCCATGAACTGCTACATAGGAATGCTGAGCTCCATTCTGCTCTTTGTTGCTCATGACATTCGGGTAAATCACTTTGCACGTGGACTTGTGGGAGTTACATTGACAAGACTGTTTATATTCAAGGTTGGTTCTATACTGAGATTTTGTTGGTGTGAGCTTTTGTTACGTCCGTAAAAACTTCTCAGGCAAGGCCAGTCATCTCTATGGAAGTAAGGTCAGCCAGATCATGCACTAGAATAGAAATGGGGTTTTAGCATTCTAGGGCAAGACTTGCAAATATTAACATCTAGTCTGGATATGTACAACCTTCGTGTGACTTGATAACTCATAAAAGCTTCCTTTCCTCCTGGCCTAGGCAGTCCAGGATTCACGCAATATCAAAAATGCCAGTCATTGAATTTGTACTGATTTCACCTCTGATTGAAACAGTTTCTGCTGTTGTTTTCCTCACATTCACGAAGTCCCCTTTTTTGCTCAGGCTGCCTGCGTCCCTGTGATGCTCAGCAATGGATGGGAGTTGCCATTCTCTGAAGTGATTAATTGGAACCAAGCTGCCGTCATAGGCGATGAGAGATTGTTATTACAGGTAAGGAAGGGGCTGTGGCCTTCAACACATCAGCAGATTATTGCTGCCCCCGTCCAAACTTTCAAAGAAGATGAATCCAAAAGGTCAGCTCAATAAAAGAAATTTTATCAGGAGAAAATTACCTGTGTCATGGTGAATATGAAGTCATTTAATATGACATTGTTCACTTTCCAGCAAAATCTGCCCAGGTCCCCAGAATATATTCCGAAAAGAAGTTGCAGGTAAAGAATGGGAGCTTTGATTTTCAAGAAGAAGTGGACCTCCACCCCTTTCAATAGCCAGAATTTTTAGAAACATTACCAGAGAGTTTGTATTCTACCCTACTGTTTCATATTCTTTTCCGCTGTTTCTGCACTTGCCTTCAGATTAATTTTCAGAAAGAGAGAGGTCTCTAGGGCTTGTTCTTGTAATTAGTGTTATCATTCCTCAAATGATCCAGTCTGGGTGTCTGAGCGAGTGTTATCTTCAGGATGTATATTTAAATGAGCAGCCCCTAATAAAAGTTTGAACTGCTCAAGAGCTGCCTAGGGAGGAGGATACAATACTCACAGAGAAATCTGAGGGCAGGAGCAATCATGTATTTTTTTTAATTACTAAGGATTTTATTGCACCATACACTTTATCTTTGAATTACTATAAATATTTGTAGATTTTTTTTTTTATGTTTTTGCCCTTTTATTTTTTGAATATCCATTAAATTGAGTTTCTAAGTCTGTTTTTTTGTTTCGTTTTGTTTTTGTTTGTTTTTTTGGTCTTTTGTTGTTGTTGTTGTTGTTGTTGTTGTTGTTGAGATGGAGTTTTATTCTGTCGCCCAGGCTGGAAGTGCAGTGGTGCGATCTCAGCTCACTGCAACCTCCACCTCCCAGGTTCAAGAGATTCTCCTGCCTCAGCCCCCCGAGTAGCTGGGAATACAGGAGCTCACCACCATGCCTGGCTAATTTTTGTATTTTTAGTAGAGACGGGGTTTCACCATGTTGGCCAGGCTGGTCTTGAACTCCTTACCTTAGGTGATCCACCCGTCTCAGCCTCCCAAAGTGCTGTCATTATAAGCGTGAGCCACCGTGCCCGCCCTCTAAGTCTGTTGTTGATTCTCCTTCTGTGCTGCTGCCCAGTCTGCTAGCTGACTGGTGAAGTAATGCAGCACTTTCCCTAAAATAACAGATGAACTAACTATAACTGAGAGACCTATGGGTTAAGCAAATGAAAGTGACCACAGCTCCTGAAACATTACTTCTGTCTGGTACTCAGTTTGTGATCTCCATGGTACCTAGGATCTCAGAAACAAGGGTAGGAATATGGCAGAATCTGTTTTTTGGGGGGATAAGTTATTCTGCCCTGAATACAACTTCATTTTTTAGGTGTTCATTGAGAAAGGGGTCTGGACTTTTTGTGAAAGGGCCACTTTTATGCCAATGATTTCCCACTGTGATTCCTTAAGGAAAGGAAGTCCTTGCAGAAACACCAAGGAAGAGTTTTTCCCATACAGAGATAGTGTATGCCAAAATCATTTATTCATGAAAAGCCAAACAAGCGTGATGCATGTCATGCTTGTCCATGATGTCTTTTTTCTTCCTTTTTTAAATGTGATTTTAAAAGTAATACTTGATCATTAAAAGAAATTTGAGAAATAAAGGGAATAAAAAGCACCACCCATAATTTTCCTTTTATATACCAATGCTCCCATGAATTTAATGTGAATAAGTTGAAAATTTGTCTTTGGTATGGAGCGCATTTTAGTATACTTAATTGTGGTTGTTGGTTTCTTTTCTTTTTTTCTTTTTTCTTTCCTTTTCTTTTTTTGTTTTGAGACAGAATCTCTCTGTCACTCAGGCTGGAGTGCAATGGCGCGGTCTGAGCTCACTGCAACCTCTGCCTCCCAGGTTTAAGCGATTCTTCTGCCTCAGCCTCCCGAGTAGCTGAGATTACAAGTGCCTGCCACCACACTCAGCTAATTTTTGTATTTTTAGTAGAAATGGGGTTTCACCATGTTGGCCAAGGTGGTCTTGAACTCCTGACCTGATGATCCACCTGCCTCAGCCTCCCGAAGTGCTGGGATTACAGGGGTGAGCCACTGTGCCTAGCTGCTTCTCCAGTTTCTACCATTTCACCAAAGTTGATGGGCATTTCATCTTCTGAAGCAACTTTTTGGCTTGACTCTGAAGATTTTGATTTTTATCACTCCCACCCACCCAGACTTGCTGGTGTTTTTTCCCTCTCATATGCAGTCTGTCTTTGCACAGCTGCCTCCATATTGAACAGCAACTGTGTACTATCATTAACAATGGTTTTAAAGAGTTGGCACCCAGCCCAAATGTCTGCTCTGGGAAATGTTTTTTTGTTATGTTACAATTTTTCATTTCCTGTTTTAGAATAGCTCGGATGTTTTTATTTGCCTATATTCTTGTCATCATGTCACCAAGAGAGCTTAATGTGACTTTCTTATATCTATTCTGGTGCATCCCATTTGTTTTGCTACCATACATGACCTTTTATTAAGACTTCATTGAGCTCGGTGATTTCCAAAACAATCCAGCCAAATTAGAATTAATTGATCACTTTCCCATACCTGTCTCTCAGGACAAGCAGATTAATAACCAATAGCCAAATGCCATTAAAACTTGGAACTCTGTCTTTTCAATCAGTTAGAGTTGTCTTCCAGAGCACTTTGCATAGTGCTGTCAGACACTTGTATCGTATCACAAACCGGTAGAATACATTGCACTTGATATAGTAAGATGAAGATGCATCTTATTTAAGAGAGGAGGACAGCATTGGTAGGTGAGTCTGTGATATTCTTTTTCTCCTTTCATAACCACAGCAGACTCAATTTTCTGGAGACTATATAGCAATGATAGCTTTAGGCATTTTTCTTTTCTTTTCTTTTCTTTTCTTTATTTCTTTCCTTTCTTTTTTCTCTTTTCTTTTCTCTTTTTCTTTCTTTCTTTCTTTTTCTTTCTTTCTTTCTTTCTTTCATTCTTGAGACAGTCTCATTCTCTCACCCAGGCTGGAGTGCAGTGGTGCAGTCTAGGCTCATTGCAACCTCTGCCTCCTGGGTTCAAGTGATTCTTCTGCCTCAGCCTCCTGAGCAGCTGGGACTACAGGTGCGTACCACCATGCCCAGCTAATTTTTGTATTTTTAGTAGAGACAGGGTTTCACCATATTGGCCAGGCTGGTCTCGAACTCCAGAACTTGTGATCCCCCTGCCTCGGCCTCTGAAAGTGCTGGGATTACAGGCGTGAGCCACTGCACCCAGCCTTAGGCATTTTTCTAGTAGACTGTTTCCTCGTGGCCACGATAAAACAGTGATGCCAACCTATATAACTCTTAGCAGTTACTTCTTGACATTTAGAAGAGGGTATGATTATGAAAATTGAACAGGATAATTTTTTTCTAATCTTTCTTTGGCCATCTGGGTGACTTTCTCAGTAAGTAAATAAAAATCAGTTTCCTTGGACTTATAAAGGTTCTATGATATGAATGATTTCTCTACCTTCTCGAAGAATGTTTTATTTTCATTTGACCTTGAGCTCTGATTACAGGCTAATGTTTGCCTGCCAGTGTTTCTCCTTTACCTGTTGCCTCTGTTTCTTCAGTGTTGCAAATCCAGGTATACACTTTGGGACACAGATTTAGTATCTGGTTTTGGACATTGCCAAACCAAGTGAACTTTTCCTTCTCTTCTTACTGTGAAGCTGTTTTATTGCTCCTCCTAAGGGGAGTGTTGAATTAAAAAATGCGCTACCACTTCCTTCCCCTCCAATGGAAACTCTGTTACAGTCTTAGTCAAATGCCATGGGTAACTTTCCTATTAAAGCAGCTAACGGAGCATTTCTCCTCCTTGCCCAGACTCCCATATCTGTCAGATTAGTCATATGTTATGGAGGCAAGCATGCAGAAAGAGGTGAGCACAAAAGGGCAATTGCTAATCACAAGGAATCTTCCCTTAAGACTATAGACTCCGTAAATGAAATAGACCTTGAACTGTAGGTGAAAATAGGGAACAAGCCCAGAACACTTACCAGACTCAGGAAGTACATTTCAGAACTCCAGACCCAAGCAGTTTCCCTTGCAGACATTAAGCAACTGGTCCAACTTTTAATAGCATCACTCTGATACCAATAATGATAGTAGTGATTGTACATTATATTAATTAAGTTTTCCATGTTTTAGGCACTGTGCTAAGCACTTGTATAATCATCATTAAAACCTTAGTACTTTATCCCCACTTTATGAGTAAGGAAGTGGAGTCTTTGAGAAATCAGCTAACTCGTTCAAGAAAGCACAGGTAGTAAATGGTAGAGGGAAGAATCCTTCCTTGATCTTTCTGACTCCCGTGCCCCTGGGCCTAGCCATTCAGCAGCTGTACTACCATTAAAAATAATGATGTCCCTGTGGTGGCTTCAGGTGGTTATATTCACCTCCTATTTCTTAATAACTACTATATAAAAGCCACTCTGCTAACCTGAAAATGTGTAGCAGGATAACAAGATATAGGTCCTTCCTTTAAAACTGTGTACCCTGGAAGAGAGCAGTGATGACTAAACATATATGAACAGTTGAGAGATCCAGTTAGACTTGGGTAAGGGCTGAAGGCAGAAAGAGAGATATGGGAAGCAGAAAGGCTCAAAGGTGAGGTAGAAGGTATGTGCACATAAAAGTGACTGACCCTAGCTTCAGGTTGGATGGGAAAGCTCATAGACATTCTCTAAAAAGTCCTTTTATAGATATTTTATAGTTCCTGGGGTGACCAATCATAGAAGTGCTTGGGAGATAAAGTCTTCTGGCCTTTCCCCAAGACCTACAGTTACTCCTCTATAAAATTTGGTTGTTACCTTGTGCAAGGTCGAGGATTTCTGGAAGCAGCAATTGTGACTATAGACTTACCTAAGCAACTCATAAGCTGCTTCTGAATCTTAGAGGTGAACTGTAACTTTCATACATCAAAGGCCACTGGGGCGGATTCCCAGTAAGTGCTCTTTGTAGCTGACACTTCTTAAGGTCATTTCAACTTAAGAGTTGATGATTTTTAGTAGATCTATGCTAGAAGTCGAATGCTATGAAGAATAAAAGCCTAACCCAGTTGGGTTATTTTGATCAAGTACATCTCTTGGTTTTACGGTTATAATTCCTATGTGTTCACCTTGTGTTACAGATTCCTTCTACAATCAGGTCTATTCATCAGGATAAAATCCTAGCACTTAGACAGCAGACACAATTCTTGTGGGAGGCTTATTTTTCTTCAGTTGAGAAGATTGTATTAACTACACTAGAGGTAAGTGAGACCGCTTGGCTCTTGGGCTTGAATAATGGTCCTTTATACACTTCTCTCAGCCTTCTGTTTTGCTATTAGTGATGTGTGATTGGTCCAATGGGGCAAAACCAGATTCCTGTACTCGGATATATTGGTTAACCTCTTTTATCAACTTTGCCATACCCAAGAAAATACTCTCATTCCTGACAAACTCTACAAAGGAAAACCTACATGGGGAGAAATTATACTCAATGACACAGAGATTGACTCCGTCTTACATCATTTCAGGGATATGTGGGTCATGACTGTCTTGTCATTTACACTCAATGGCATCCTTTGAAGACATGTTTCTGGAGTTCATTTAGAAAAAAATATTTAATGGCTTGGCTCAGCGGCTCACTCCTGTAATCCCAGCACTTTGGGAGACTGAGGCAGGTGGATCACCTGAGAGCAGGAGTTCAAGACCTGGCCAACAAGGTGAAACCTCATCTCTACTAAAAATACAAAAAATTAGCCAGGCATAGTGACACACACTTGTAATCCCAGCTACTCGGAAGGCTGAGGCAGGAGAATAGCTTGAACCTGGGAGGCGGAGGTTGCAGTGAGCTGAGATCGCACCATTATACTCCAGCCTGGGCATCAAGAGCAAAACTCCATCTCAAAAAAAAAAAAAGAAAGAAAGAAAGAAAATATATATATAATGGCCAAGTAACGGCAAATCCTCTACCGTTCTAAAAATATGAGTAGTTTTCTGGACACCACAGTCCAATGGCATTGGGGGACAGCAGAATTAATTCTCAAGTCTTATGCAAGCCAGCCAACCAGCGTCAGTGTGGCAAAGTTGTGTTAAGAGGAGAGTCAGGATCATACCCATGTGGCGCAGAAAGTGTTAAATTTGTGAAAGCAGAAAATCTGTTAGGCAGATGGGTGCCCATCCTCAAGTTGCTTTTTTCTAAGGCAGGACGGAAAAAGAAAAAGGAAGCATGGAGATGATTAAAACCTTTGGAAATAGAGCAGATAGCATTGGCCTGAGGCTACACCAAAGTAGCACAAAGAGCTAGGAAAAGATTCAGGAAGCTGCACACGCATGCATTACAGGCTTGAAGGAAGGAGAGCAGAGATATTCACTGAGGTGATTCTGAGGTGTTCCCAAAATGAAGTGGGGGCATCGTGGTCTTCCTTTTGGAGAATTCACTCGGGAAAAGTGATGACTGCTCTAAAAGCTAATGTGATGTGGAACCTACATTGAGAAGTCTGAGTAATACGAAGAAACTGAAGTTACTCTACTTGGTCCACATCACTGTTTTCTTGCCATCCTGACTATCAGAGCCAGTGCTGGTCATGCTCCAGGCACACCGGGGCATTTATCCACCCCACGCTGAGCTTGGGCTCCTGCTCCCACCCTAGGGCAAACTCTGGTCAGTGTCCTCTTAGGCATAGTGTGTATTTTTTTCATCCTGGAACTGGGTAAAAAGGGCTGTTTAGGACCCAGGCCCATTCCCATGAAGGGGACAGGATCATAATGACTTCCAAGGGCTTTCTTCCTGCAAGCAAACTTTTATCCCTCCAAAAGCAATCTCCTCAATTAAAATCAATTGAGTCGTTACCTCTGTTCACAGTAGCAGATTTGAGTATTTAATAGAGTTATCCTTTGCTTTTTTTTTTTCTTAGTGTTAATAATTCTTTTTTTTATTATTATTATTATACTTTAAGTTCTAGGGTACATGTGCATAACGTGTAGGTTTGTTACATATGTATACTTGTGCCATGTTGATGTGCTGCACCCATCCACTCGTCAGCACCCATCAACTCGTCATTTACATCAGGTATAACTCCCAATGCAATCCCTCCCCCCTCCCCCCTCCCCATGATAGGCCCCGCTGTGTGATGTTCCCCTTCCCGAGTCCAAGTGATCTCATTGTTCAGTTCCCTTAATCCTGTCCTCCATCTAAGATCCTTCATAGGCCACTCTTAAAGAATGTTGAATGTTATTTTTTCTCCCCTTTTGGAGTGCAGAGTGCCTTTTTTTTTTTTTTGAGACAGGGTCTCTCTCTGTCACCAGGCTGGAATGACCTTAAGCAATCCTCCCACCTCAGCCTTCTGAGTAGCTGGGACCATGGGTGCGAGCTACTATGCCTGGCTAATTTTTTATTTTTTGTGCAGACGAGGTCTCGTTATGTGGCCCAGACTGGTCTTGAACTCCTGGCTCAAGCAATCCTCCTGCCTCGACTACCCAAGTGGTGGGATTACAGGAGTGATTATTAAATAAGGACACATTCATTTTAGAAACTAATAGAAAACACTTAAAGCATAAAATATAAAATAATTCCTTCATACAAAACCACTATTGACATATATATCCACACAAACATATATATTCATTTTTATATGTAAATTTAAAATTTGTGGTAGTTTTAGTTTTAAAAAGGAGTCTTCATATACTTGCATTATAACCTGTTTTTCTGCTTAATAATGTTAATATTTTCTCATGTTATTAGATTTTTTCTATAATTAATGACTATATGATATTCCATTTATGATATCATCTAATTATTTAAATTAATCCCCAATTTGGGTAGATTCCAGTTGTTTCTGGCTTTTTATCTTTATGTACATCATTGCAGTAAATCATCTCAAGGTCAAATTATTGTGCAGATTCGATATTACTTCCTTAGGATAAATTCCTTGAATTTGAAGTCCTGTTTCAAATAATATGCCAAATGCTAAGTTTTTTTGGTTTTTTTTTTGTTTGTTTGTTTTTGAGACAGAGTCTCACCCTGTCCCCCAGGCTGGAGTACAGTGGCACCATCTCAGCTCACTGCAACCTCCGCCTCCTGGGTTGAAGCGCTTTCTCAGGCCTCAGCCTCCCAAGTAGCTAGGATTACAAGCATGTGCCATGGAGATGGGGTTTCACCATATGGGCCAGGCTGCTCTCCAACTCCTGACCTCAAGTGATCTGCCTGCATCGGCCTCCCAAAGTGCTGGGATTACAGGCATGAGCCACCGTGCCTAGCCCCAATGCATTTCTTTCTTCAGTGTTTTCTCTGCCATTTTTATGTATCTTTGGGTTGTTTCTGGCCTTTTAATTCTATCCTATTAGTTGTTTACCTCTAATACATTCAGACCACGTTTCAGTGTTTTAACTTTTTTTACTCTATTATACATCCTATCGTGAACTTCTATTAAACCAATATGCCATTATTTACTGTTAATGTTCTTTTTAATTATTTCTTTTTTAGAGCTAACTATATCTTTATCCAAGCAAATGACTTTCTACATGTATCTTAAACTACATCTGTATTTCTTTAGGATGGAATCCCTGAAGTGATCTTAATAAGCCAGAGAGTCTAGGCATTTCTAAGGCTTATAATATATTTTGCCAAATTATTATCCAAAAACATTTTATCCACCCAGAGTCTCACAAGCTGTCTGGGCGTGACTCTCTTTTGCTGTGCTCTTGTCAGCCTCACAGATCCATAATTAAAACACACACATCTACCACTTTGCTGATTTGCCAGATGAAAGATGGTATCTCATTAATTACATGTCTTTTGCATATGGTTTATTGCATGGATCTGGTCTCTCACCTAGTAAGTTAGCAGTGCTCAATTTTTGTATTGTAACAGTTGAATGTCTTACATTCGTCAGAATAGGATCAAAATAAGATCAAGCTGTTCTCATCTCTGAACCTGAAAAGGCCTTTTCCCCTTTGTATTTAAACCATGCAATTTTTTTTTTCTTTTTTTTTTTTAGCAACACAGTTTTGGGTTTTTTTAAAAACACTAAAGATGATATACTTCATTCGAATTTATAGCAACTGTCAAATCTCTTCATATAGTTCCAAGATTGGATTGTAACAGTTTGACCTCTCAACTAAATTGATGACAGGTACTACCTAGTTTTCCAAAATACTTCATAACTCAGAGTACCCCAGAATTCAACATAATCAGAAAATCAGGGGAAATAGAAGAAAATGCCATCCACAGACACAAATAACACAGCGAATGTGTTTATAAGAACAGTTTAAGTATCACGTATCAAAAATGTGAACTTGGCTTAGAACTCAGATAACATACTTCATTTAGTCACTGCTGGAGCTACTAAGGCATGAGAATAATTCAGTTACTCACAGTTACGGCATAGACTTGAAGATCCTGGCCTAAGGATGCTCTGTACTCAGACTCTAGGTCTTTCTCCTTGCTTGCTATATTCTAGGCCATGGGAATGGGATTCTGGAGTCTTCAAACATTGTGAGCCCTAGAGTTGTAGGTAGAGTGCTTAGACTCAGTTGAAAACAGGACATCTCATTTTCTCTTCAATGCCAGGGTCAAGTTGTTAGTACATTTCATTGTACAGAGCTCTGTCTAGGATTCTGTTAGTTTTTCCAGTTTGATTGAAATTTTCTAATGCTGCATCTTGGTAGTAAGGAGCTATTTAATCAAACGAGGCTCTGTAGAGCTCAGTTTGTTTGTGTAAATTGAGAAGTAACCATGAGGTCAATGATAAAACACTGGAAAAACAGTGCTCCTTCATGGATTCCATTATTTGTCAGAATATTGCACAATAACCTGGCACTAAGGATTGAATCATTGGAGCTTAGTTGTAATCAAGATGAGTGAAAGAAAGTGCTTGAGATTATAATAATATATGAAAAGAGCCAGTGGTAGCTAGGAAGGTATATAGTTAGTGGAGTTTTATGAAGTATGCTCCATTTTCCTCTTCAGTTATCTAGCCATGCACATCCGAACCATAGTATTGCTGATGCTATCATACAATGATATTTGAAAATCAGTGGGATAATGGAAATAGACAATTGATCTGGCTTCAAGTAAAGTGGCATATGGTGGCATCGTGTGTCTTAGGCTACAGTGCTTTGGTTACAAGATGAGGGGCTACATAGAATGACTGTAACCTGTAACCAATCGTCCATTATTTGGAAAACAGAGGATACATAAAAAGAAAAATAAGGAGCCTGTCATTCTTCCCTTTGAATTCACATCAATTAGAAATATTGTCCTTATCAAGGGGGCCATCTGGGACCATAACAAAAAAAGTCTTGTATTATGTGTTTGTGTGTGTGTGTGTGTGTGTGTGTGTGTGTATTGATTTTGTTTATAGCCAAAGAAGCATCCAACCTCTAAATCTGATGTCTTCTTCCACAACAATAAAGAGTAAGCAGTAAGTGCCATGAAAAGATTCTGGGAGCTCTCCAGGGTAGTGATAGGAAGAATTGCAGAGGGGAAAAAATGATCTTTCTGTATGGTGAAATGAAATCCATATTTCTTTATGCTTTTAGAAGGCAAGTTGATATAAACCTTTTAGAAAGACACTTGGCAATACTTATGAGTAGCCTTAAAAGTACTTACACCCTTTGACAAGGTCCTACAGAATCAATTCTGGTCTGGAACGGTGGCTCACACCTGTAGTCCCAACCCTTTGTGAGGCCGGGGAGAAAGGATTGCTTGAGCTCAGGAGTTTGAGACCAGCCTGAGCAACATAGTGAGACCCCATCTCTACAAAAAATAAAAATAAAAAAGTTAGCTGGGTGTGGTGACCCTCCCCTGTGGTCCCAACTACTCAGGAGGCTGAGGTGAGAGTATCCTTTGAGCCCAGAAGTTTGAGGCTGCGGAGAGCCGTGACCACACCACTGTACTCCAGCCTGGGTAACTGTATGAGACCCTGTCTCAAAAAAAAAAAAAAAAAGAAGAAGAAGAATCAGTCTTAAATGTGGAAAATTTTATTCATATTCATAAATATGTTCATTGCTTTGCATGGAAAAAATGCTGAACTGATCATTAAGAAAAATGAATCATGAATACTATTAATATGGAAACATATCTGTAATATATAATATCTATACTATTGCCACTATGTAATAAATGGAGAAACCAATGCCTAGAAAACAAACACAGGAGTGAGTTTCTTCTTAAAGGCAAAAATGAAGTCTTAAGTATAACAACTTAGGCAGCTATTCTTAAATTCTGAGACATTGTTATAATTAATGTGATATTTTATTGCTTTATTACAGATGAGGAAAATAATACACAAAGGTGGCAAATTGCTTGACCCAGGTTAAATTCAACATTTGCTACTGCTTTCATACCTGTCCTCTATCTTTCTGTCAAGATCCATTGGAAGACAGTATAAAATGCTTGTTATTTCAGAAGAGTGCTATATCTTATTATCATATCCTTGAATTTCAAAAGATAGCAATGTTGTGATGCTAAACCAAAGTCTATGACAGTGACAAGCATAACATCCAAAGACCTGATGTGAATGATGACCCATTTTGTGACAGCTCTGAGTTCTATGCCATTTGTCTGTAGGTTCGATTTATGATACTGTCTATTGTCAATTTATTTTCTATCTTGATATCCAAACTTATTTCAGTGACCACATCCTAAGAGGTACATAAATTTGAAAAGAAAAAAAAAAAAAAAAAGGAGGATCTAAAGAGAAACTAGAAAAAGGAAATAAATAGACAGTACATTTGGAAAGTACAAATAATAAAAAACAGGAATAAATGTTGTACAAAGTGAAATTGCTAACCATGTAAAAAAATCCTTCACAACCATGACAATTTTCTCATAATTAATGCCAAGACAACAGCATTTTAACACATCCCTGTTACACAAAAAGTAAAAATAAATATTTTCACTAGGTTCCTAAAATCTCCACCAAATTAGAAACCTCTATCCAGCCATATAAAATTAGCAATTTTGATCTGGGTGAAAGATAAGATGCAGAAGTCATTTAACTAAGATATTTGAGTTCTTCTGAATTTCCTCCTTGCTTCCTTCCTTCTCTGTCATTAGGAAAATAAACATAAGATTTGCAAAGATAAATGTAGCGCACTTTATTACTTATCTAGTCACCATGTGGAATGAGATGAGGGTGTTAATAACCTTAGCAAATAATAAAACTCCATTTAAAATAGTCTGTACTTAAAATCACATTGCATTAAATGGAGACCTGGAAAATGGTGATTTGGGTCTTAAATCTCAAGACTTATGGCAGGATTTTTTTCTTTTCTTTTAAATGTAAAAAAAAAAAAATTGCTGAAAACATAAAATTCCGTACCAAGTTAATTATTTGCCAAATCATATTCTAATGAGTGGATGGTATAATTATAAGAGTTTGAAAGTCACAGAGAGAAAGCTATAAAATGGACTAATCACATTCAACTGACAAATGATTCGGGATGGGAGGATGTTTGACTCTAAATGTAGAATTTAATGATCTGCAAGGTCCCAAAGTCCAAAGAAACTAATGAACTAGCTTGGCTATTATTAGTCTTCATATGCCATGGTTCTTGTCCTATTATGTAGGATGTTTTAAGCAATTGTTAACTCACTACTTTTCGAGATGAAATATAGAAAAACTTCAGTAACCAGTACCCAAAGTCCTACAATTGACTTTGAAAGGAAAATGAAATATGACAAGCAAACACATCTACCTCTTGAATTAAAGAAACAGCTGAAAACCTCAATAGCTTCTAGAATGTGTCATGTCTTGAATATGCTTTCCGTTCAGTGTCTACGAGTATACATTGACCTCTCTGTTCTCTGAGAACAGGTCTTGATAGGGGCCTCAAACGTATCTTAGTTCTTAGAAGTTTAACCATCAGGGAAAGACTAACTGCTCCACACAGTCTATTTTGGAATGAGCATGGACTCATTATTATACAAAGACAGGGTAGAATTTATGGTTTAACTGAAGTTTAATTAGGAACTTTGATTGGCTATAATTCATATCTTTCTGTTACTCTTTTTCATTGCTCCATTACTCTCTCCGTCTCGCAGACGTTTTTATCTGGAGAATTAGAGTGGGAGGGAGGGTAGAGTCGCCACTCTGACTGCCGCCATCTTTCAAATGTGGATTGGGCATCATTCCTTCCACATAGCATCAGGATCTCATTCTCACTGTGTGCTATGTTTTGTTTTCTAGATTATTCAGGACAGAATATTCAAGCACATATCACGTAACAGTTTAATATGGAACAAACATCCTGGAGGATTGTTCGTACTACCACAGTATTCATCTTATCTGGGAGATTTTCCTTACTACTATGCTAATTTAGGTAAGTGAATTTCCTCCAGGGAGTTGCCCTTGTTTACCCTGAAGATGTCATACAGAACTAAGGGCCTTTGTTCTTCTATTCTAATGGGGTCCATCTAACACCCTGCACTGAAGATTGCTTTTTCTAGAGTCTTGTTATAAGTGACATATCAAGTTCAAAAACAGAACAGAGCATTGCAAAATGGAAAAAAAGAAAAACTTCTTATCTGTGCAGCTCTACTTCATATTTAGTAATTTCTTTTTGAGAAATAGGCTCCTCAAATTATGAATCATTTTGAACATGGCAATGGGTTAGCTATCATTTTACGCCTCATCATATATAAAATAGAGTTAGGAGAGCTCTCCCCTGTTTTGTTTTGTTTTTTTTCACAATCCCAACATCTCTATTCCGTACCAAAGAAAAACTGAATAAGAGGAAAGGAGAAATAACTAAGAATATATGACAAGCACAAATTTATTAATTTTTCCAAGGTTTTTTATGCTCCTTTTATGTGCTATGCTAATGTATTGCTGGGTTCTAGAAATAAAAAGTCAAATAAGATACAGTCTCTGCTTTCAAGCAGTTTTCAGTCTAATCACAGTAGGGAAAAGGGAATGGCAGAGGAATAAATCTCTACCACCGGCTACTGTTATTGCCTTAGACATTTATGTATTTGGAGCCCCAGTTGCTCTCATGTTAGAAACATCATGAACATTTCCCCTCAGTTACAGTTCTAAACTTGAGAAAGCCTAGGACAGGAAAGCATCTTCCAAGCTGATACAGCAAAAAGACAAGATTTTCCACTCAATGCCATTGTTCTCCATAACACCCTCACCCTTCTAAGTTGTACATGTTTCGCTTGAAACTGATGAGATGAAACCTAAAGAAATTCCTGGCCTGAAGCATCAACCAGTGACAAAGAACCTTTTAATCCAAACCAAACCTGTTATGGGAACCATCTCTAATTCAGTGTATGGTTGACATTTGGGTAATGTAATTAGAATTTAGAAATGGTCAGATTAAGACACCGGTTGACAAAAATTTCTGTATATTTATTGTACAGTATTTAGATCTTCATTTGGAGTTATCACATTAGAGGTGTGTAAATGATGCTTCTTAAATTATTGCAGGAAAATTTAAAGGCAATGACTTGTCATTCCTGTTTAAAAGGCAGCCCCTCAATCACGCTTATTCTCCTTGCTTGGCAAAACTTCGAATGTGTATCTAGATATTGGGAAGATTAACTTCTTTTTAACATACAATTAAAGTGCTACTGGATGATATAATTTTCTCTACAAAACCTTTGTATAATCCTCTAATACACATAGAGTCTGATTCTAGCCTTTATCCCATCAGTATCAAAGCGTAACTTGAATGTCCCTGCACTGTGTTGCTCGCAGTTAAGCCACTAAAGTGCCAAATTAGTGGGTCTAAACTAATGAAGTTTTAAAAGGCTCTTAACCTGTCTCTAATTTCTTAGTGAGTTCTTATGGGAAAAGTCCTTGGGGGGAAGCCATCTCACTTCTGTGTCTTTGGTGACAGTGGTTGTTTTGCATATCTATGATCCTTTTTAACCTAGGACTTCAGAGCTCCCAATTGGCAAAAGTCTGCATCACATACTTTTTTCTCAGCTATGTCACTGTTACACAAAGAAGAGATTCTGGGAATATGGAGGCTTCTTCTCCGAAATAATAACGATGTTGGTGAGGGTGATGATAATGATAGCTGCTGACATATATTGAGTACTTGTTATTTTCTAAGTCCTATTCTAAGTGCTTTGTATGCATTAACTTGTTTGTTTGTTTTTTTTTTTTTCTAAGACAGAGTCTTGCTATGTTGCCCAGGCTGGAGTGCAGTGGCACCATCTTGGCTCACTGCAACCTCTGCCTTCAGAGTTCAAGCAATTCTCCTGCTTCAGCCTCTGGAGTAACTGGGACTACAGGCACACGCCATCGTGCCCAGCTAATTTTTGTATTTTTAGTAGAGACGGGATTTCACCATGTTGGCCAGGCCAGTCTTGAACTGCTGGCCTCAAGTGATCCACCCGCCTCGGCCTCCCAAAGTGCTGGGATCACAAATGTGAGCCACCGCACGGGGACAAACTTACTGAATTTTCGAGATAACCCCATACGTTTGGCACTATTATCAGGTCTGTTTCCCAGCTGTAGAAACTCAGAGGGTTAAGTATTCTTTCCAAGGTCCCACCACCAGTAAGTGGTAGATCTGGGATTCAGACCTAGACAGACAGGCCCTGGATGCTGTTCCTTTCACCTTTTTTCCCACTAGCTAGCTGTTTGAAGTGCTATTAGTCAGGTAGAACCCTTTTATTACATAATTAAAAATCAGACACCTGCAAACACTGTGGGAGAGACAACACATGAAGGGTGGTGAATGGTGTGTGTATTTAGACACTGGGTACCTAAAAAGCCAAAGGAACATCACAGAAACATCACCAAGAGGGACAAAGGATATTAAAGCAAGAACCTAGAAGTGGACGTTGATCTGGAATTTATTGAGGTCTCTAGACTCAGGCAGTAGCTAACCAGCAACTTCTCATCTTGTTTCTGTCCTTTCAGGACATAAGAAGCAAAGGAGAAATCATCCAGGAGGGAACATTTGCTTCAGCGTGAGGCAGTGGAGCAAGGAGGAGTGATTTTCTAAGTCTTGTTTTCCAGCGCTTCATTAGGCTCTGCTCTCCTTTTTATTTCAGGTTTAAAGCCCCCCTCCAAATTCACTGCAGTCATCCATGCGGTGACCCCGCTGGTCTCTCAGTCCCAGCCAGTGTTGAAGCTTCTTGTGGCTGCAGCCAAGTCCCAGTACTGTGCCCAGGTGAGTGGGAAGTTGGCAGAGCAGCCCCTGCCTGCTCCAGCTCCAGACCAGAGATTCCTCCCTGCTTACCTGTTCTCCCCCAGGCTCCCTGGGCTCCCTAGGACTCCTCTAACATCATACCCTCTTACTCCCTTTCATTCATCCTGCCTCATTACACCCTTTTCATCCACTTAGAAATTCTTGGAAGTGAAATCTGGCACAGGGAAGGGGTGGGTTCCGGAGAGACCTTAGCACTGGTATAGGGTTAAAAAGTATATATACGTACACCAACACATTCTCTAGAGAAGATATAAGCACATGATTTTGTTTTTAAATGTCAAAATGACAAAGTAACATCCAAAAAGCCTCTGGGAGGACCCAGGCAACTAAGCTTCACTAGAAGAAGCAGACTTGTTGGTGTCATGAAGCGTCAACTTTTCTTTTCATAGCAACCATGACTAATTATAAAATTGGGAGCAGACGATTATGTCTATGGTAACAATATTTTCCAAATCAGTGTTGCGCCGATACTTGAACAGTGGTTTTTCTGATTTGTGAATTAGTTTATGCAAGAAGGTTTACAAACAAGGAAAGAATTCAATAAGGAAGTATGCATTTTTGAACTAAATGCCTTTATTGGAAATTATAAAGTCACATAAAATCAGCAACCATTCTAGAGCATGCAAAACATGAGCTCATCTTAGTTCTAGCTTGAATTTTTTTATTTCTCCCACATTGCCTGGTGTAGTGCAAGTTCAGAGCAGATGTTCAGATGCTCAGTATACATTTTTATTTAATTTGATCAGAGTTGTTATCTCACACACCATCATAAGATACCAGAATTTAGGAAACCACTTTATTAAGCTCCAGCCACCCTGAAATTCTTTTTCCCGCAGCTTTCCCCTATTCCCAGACACAGTTGGTTTTGTTTGTTTGTCTTTTTGTTTGTTTGTTTACTCTTTCTGTCCTCTCTCCAGTTGTTGGGGTGATAATGTTCTGAGGTTGTGTGGGAATGGACTCACTTTAATACTCAGTTTTGATGTCTGCCGTTCTGTCTCGCTGAGATCTCCAGCTCCTCTTTCTCTTTCTGACTCTGAGAAGAGGCTTTGGGTTGGAGGCCTACATAAATACATCCTACCCCAGCCATCTAATGAACCCCATCCCTTTCAGATCATAGTTCTATGGAATTGTGACAAGCCCCTACCAGCCAAACACCGCTGGCCTGCCACTGCTGTGCCTGTCATCGTCATTGAAGGAGAGAGCAAGGTAAGACTCGAAGGGGAACCTATGTGTGGAACCACTGTGGAGCCTTGGTTTCTCCGTGGGGCACTTTGGGTCTTGGCCCTAGATGTCTTCTCCCTGTTCCTGGATTATTTTTTCTAAAACTGTACTTTTCTCAGAATGTTCTCAGCTTTGACCGCAATAGGCTTTCAAATCAGGGAAACCTGGGTCTTCCTACCAACTCTTCTGTAGCTTTATGACCTTGTGTGTATACTTAACCTCTGTGAGCCTCAGTTTCCTCATCTACAAAAAGGAAACAATAATATATACCTTGCACGGTTGCTGTTAGGATTAAGTAAAGTCAGGAACTGGCAATAGTTATCTTTCTATAAATGACAAGGATGAAGATAAAGCTTATGGTGGTGGTGATGCATGAGGTTTGCTTGGCTGATTAATCTGAATGAGCTGTGTCTATCAGAATAGTGGCTCTTTCTCCCATTCCCTTTAAAAAGGACATTTTCACCTTAGTTTTGTTTGGCATCTGCCTGTAAAGATTGTCACAAGTGCTGCATAGCTGGCCTTTCTTCTGTTCTCCAGTTCACTTTGCCTAGAGCTGAACTATCTTTCTGATCATCTCCCGGCCCTTTAAGGTCTCCATTTGCTAGTGCTTCCAATTAACACTTGAGGCCATGTATAATCTGGCCCTAGCCAGCCTTCCAATCTTTTCTCTCATTGCTTTCCCTACAGACCCTGTCCCCTACCACATTTGATCATTTCTAATTAGCTGAATTGCGCTGTGTCTCTTCCTACCTCTAATTTTGACTTTGCCATTTGTAAGTCTTGACCACCCCTCCTTAACTCATCATCTCTGCTTGTCAACATTCCCATATATTCTTTAAGCCCCCGTTTGCATGCTACCTCCTCCTTGAAATTTCTTCTACTAAAGAGCACCCAGCTCTTTTTTCTCTAGCTTTTGCTTGTTGCTTTCTTATAGATCTTACCCGTTGTGAAGGAAATAGTCACTACTAAATGAAATTGAGATTGGTGAAGCAGTGCCATCTAAAACACTTTCCTTATCAGTCCCCAAGGGGTCAGGTCATAAGAGAGTGGCTCACACCTTTGCGCCAGAATGACAAAATTAAGTTTATTAGGCTGCACCATTTGATATCATCATCGACTCACCAAAAGTGGCAATTTCATATGGTTTGACATAATGCAATTGTAACTGTCACATGGACAAGATGATCAGTGCATTATCCATTCGTTTCCCATTTATTAGTGCCTACTGTGTGCTGAGCACTGTGTAACAGGCTTGGAACACAGTGGGGAATGTGACAAATGTAGCCATGGCCCTCATAAGGCTGGAGTCAAGCAAGCTGTTTATTAAAGAGCTGCTTGGTAAGCATTTATGAGAGAAGGTGGATGTTGGAATAATCACATGCCTCTCTCGCGAATCCATCTCACCATAAGCATGGTTTCATGCAACCCCTTATATCCATCCCCCCATAGAATAACCCATCACAGGAATGGCAGTGTTCCAATTCCAATGCCTGAAGCCATGAACAGTGCTCAGAGGCAGGCAGTTAAGGTTGAACTTTGGGATTCTTTGTTTGGTATGCTTCCATGGGTCAAGGAGACCAGCTCTGCTTCTGGTGGATAATGTCTTTCTTTGGATATGTCAGGATATTCAGACACAATCCAGTCTGTCTGGGAGCCATTCCGATTTCTTTAGGTAGTATAGCATTTTCACGCTCTGACTCACTGATTGATTTTATATTTTCGTTCTCAGTGAAAAGAAACTCCCCGTTTATTTATAAAATGGTGGTGATAATAATAGTACCTTTCTCGTGGGCTTTATCAGATGTCTCTTACAAGATGCCTCAGATCCTCCCCGCTGCATCTATATTCAGGCTCCTGGCATTTGTTCAGTCCTTGCCTCCACCTTGGGCACTGAATCTAGTGGGCTGGGTGCTTCCTATGTCTTTTCCCTGACTCTCAGTGCCCTGGGATTGCTCCTCAGAGTAAAGCTTTTGCACTTAAGTCTTGCCACAGGTTCAGTATTTTAGGAAACCTGGGCTATGACATAGACCCATTTTGAGGATTAAATGAGATCGTTGCATATCAGATGCTTACTCCTGTGCCTATTATACATGCACCAAGGGTTCAATAAATGTTAGCCCCTCTTCTGGGAGACATCATAACGTTAGGATTTGTGTTATGGGCTCTAAAGTCAAACTTACTTTTGTGTGACTTAAAGCAAGTTCTTAATCCTCTGTGTCTCCATGCCCCCTTTCAATAAATGGAAAGAGTCATAATATGTAACTAATAAGGTCGCCAAAAAGATCAGATTATGTCAGACTACATAAATAAGTGTACTGAAAAGTGTGGGTACACTGTGGATGCTCAATAAATCTTAACTATTATTGTGTTTTATATAATTACTTGTGTATATTTCTTATGTGCCCCCCCAACCCCCCCGCCACACACACACACACACACACACACCCCGCAAGACAGTACACTTCTTGAGTCTTGGTCATTTCCTAGGCATGTTATTTGTTTGTTTGTTTGTTTGTTTATTTATTTATTTATTTATTTATTGAGGCAGAGTTTCTTGTTGCCCAGACTGGAGTGCAATGGCGTGATCTCAGCTCACTGCAACCTCCGCCTCCCGGGTTCAAACGATTCTCCTGCCTTAGCCGCCCGAGTAGCTGGAACTACAGGCATGCGCCACCATACCTGGCTAATTTTGTGTTTTTAGTAGAGATGGGGTTAGTCGGACTGGTCTCAAACTCCCAACCTCAGGTGATCCGCCCACCTCGACCTCCCAAAGTGCTGGGGTTACAGGTGTGAGCCACTGCCCAAGGCCAGCATGTTTGTTCGTTTTAAAAGAGTTGGGCTTTCACATGGTAGCTAAATCTTTCTTAAATGAACTAACAAGGAAAACTCAGTTCACTCGGGATTGACTTTGTAAGTACATTGGTTTCTCTCATGCTAATCCATTTAAGAAGGTCGCTGAGGCAACATATTTGAAAAAAAGCCTCTCATTTCTGCATGAGAATTCGAAAGTGGATGGCTTTTGGGCTTTTTACCTCTGTTGATGAGACAGGTTCAGAAAAAAAGGAAACAGATCCCTTTAAGACCTAGGGTTGGGCAGATGATGGGGAAGAAGCCCTACATCTTCCTCATTCTGCATTTTAAAATCTCTATCTCCATGAATTTAAAATTAATATGTTTGCTGCTTTGGCTGCAAAATTCTGTTTTAAATTTATAGGCCTTGTCTTCGCAGTTTTCCCCTGTGGGCTTAACAAGGGAAAGGTCAGGGCAGTGCTAAGCTGGCAGCTAATGGTTTCTGCGTTAGTCGGTGGACATGTAAAGAGTATCAGGAGGATTGCTTCAGGCTGAGAATTCTGAGCACTGTGTCTATGGGGTTGCTGATCACTTTGTGTTTTATTTTAAAAGCCTGAGAAAACAACAGCAGCAAAATAACCTGACCAAGTTGACAGATGTGTAGGAGCAACCCCTGAAGCCGTGTATGCTACAGATATGTCCCTTGAGCTCTCAGAAATGACTTAAAGTGGGCACTGTCCATTCATTGAAGTCCTAGGTGCGCTGGTAGCTTTGCAGGCAAATAAACCGAGTTTGAGATGAGGCCTGCAGTTGAGCTGGCCCCTAGGAGTATTCAGATTTGGGGAGACTGCAGCTTTGGCAGCTGACTAGCTACCACCCTTTTCCTCTTTCCCTTTGTCTCTAGTGTTAAGTTACTTCTTTCCCTGGGCCTTTGTCTCTTCAAAGTTGATGGCAGGTGTGAATTCAGAGAGGATGTCATCATTATTACTATAACTTCTGGAAGAAGGTGGTGAGCACGTGATTGGCATATGTGTTCCTAAATTCACTTGTGAGGTCCTTTCCAGGACCAGTGGCCAAGGTGCTCTATAGAGTCACACCATCTGGGGGAAAATCCTGGGTTTGTTTTGGGCAAGATACTTAACCTGCGTATCTCAGTTTCCCTCCCTGTAAAATGGCGTTCTTATAAAGATGAAACCCAGTGATATATATGAAGGACGTGGAACATATCCTGGCACATAGTAAATATTCAAAAAATGTTATTCTTATGGTATCAGCGTTCTTACGGTTAGTTCTTCTATGGTACATTCAACACAAAGGTTAAGTTATGACTATCACAGGGTAACCCCTCCACCCTCAATTTTTCCAGCTGATGCCATAATCTCCAAAGCCCCCACTACACACACACACACAAGTGTGTGTGCACACGTAGTACCATGCTCACCACCTTCTTCCAGAAGTTAGAGTAATGATGATGACATCCTCTCTGAATTCACACCCACCATCAACTTTGCAGGGACAAAGGCCAGGGAAAGAAGCAACTTAACACTGGAGACAAAGGGAACCTTTCCTTATTCTAGAACTGCCCAAACTTTATGCATACACCACCTCCACAATTTTTCTAAATCCGTGGATCATGTGTGCTATTATTTAATATTTTTCTTCTTTTTTTTTTTTGTGACAGAGTCTTGCTCTGTCACCCAGGCTGGAGTGTAGTGGCGCAATCTCAGCTCACTGCAACCTCTGCCTCCCGGGTTCAAGTGATTCTTCTGCCTCAGCCTCCAGAGTAGCCGAGACCACAGGCATGCACTACCATGCCCGGCTAATTTTTGTATTTTTAGTAGAGTCAAGGTTTCACCATGCTGGTTAGGCTGGTCTTGAACTCCTGGACTCAAGTGATCCACCCACCTCAGCCTCCCAAAATGCTGGGATTACAGTCATGAGCCACCACGCCTGGCCTAATATATTTCTTTAAATCAGTATACTTTTCATTTTAATGAAGTTATTTGTAACTTTAATATTACCTTTGCTTGCTGTAGCTGCTCATATATGTGTATATATTTAATCTGTGCTAATATATATTTTAATTTGTAAATGTTTGTAATTTGTAAAAGCAGCATCTTCTATGATCTGCTCTCCCTGTGGTTTGTGTCCACACTTGGAATCACCTCTCCATCCGTTCACTCTGTCGGTCGGGAAGAGTGGGTGTCAGGATGCGGGTTCTCTCCTCAATGCCTCTGCATCTGCCGAGTCTTGTCTTTAATGCTTCATTACTATCTATACCTCGTGAATTCTTTCTGCCCATCAGGGTACTGCTTAAATGTCACTTCTTCTACGAGGCCTTCCTCTGCTCTTCCAGACAGCTAGTTGCTCCATCCTGTGGTCTCCTGGCATTTTTTTGTATCAAGCAATGGCTGGTCATCTGCTTCTTGGTCTCCTCTACAGACCATGAACTCTTCAAAGACAGGGAATATATCTTAATTATCTTTGTACCCTCTTTGACCAGCAAGATGCCTGGTACACAGTAGGTGCCCAATAATTGTTGAACAAATAAATCTGCATTGATGAGAAATGAGATTCCTTCAGTGTTGAGGGGTGACATGGTAGTAGCACATTCTTTATGCAGGTGAGGATGGGAGAATTGTCCTGAAAACAAGACTCTGAAGTTACCTCTTTCCCTCATTCCCTCCCCACTGCCTACTTCTACTTCCTCCCAGGTTATGAGCAGCCGTTTTCTACCCTATGACAACATCATCACAGACGCCGTGCTCAGCCTTGATGAGGACACCGTGCTTTCAACAACAGAGGTAAGAACCCATGCCTAAGGAGCGGCAGGTGGGCTGTTCAGACGGTCACCTCATGTTGCACAATACTAGTGCTTCTCTTAGCCGTGCCTTGGCAGAACTAGAAAACATTTTTCAAAACTTTCTACAGCGGTGGTTTTAATCAGCCCGATTCCTGTTAGCACCTTGCCGCCACCTGGCACTCTGAGGAGGGCATCTCCCCTTCATTGTCTCTGCTAATTGGATCCTCATTTGCATAACTGGGCCTCACCTCTCCTTCCAGGCCTGCCCTCCTTTTTTGTTTTTAAACAGCACAGTTGTGGGCAGGCGTGCAGAACCAAGGGGAAGGGGGAGGGTGCCTGTTCTGCATTATGTTGAAACCATGCTGTCCAGAGGCGACAATCCCATTCCTCTCCACGTGTCCTATTGTCTCAATTGGGAGACTCTATTTGGGGCTCTAAAGGCAGCTTTTCTGTCTTGGTTTAAAGAGCTCATTTTCTTTCACCTACACAAGAGCAAACGGTTTCACTTTAAGGCTGTGATGGAGATTCCTATTTCAGATGTTCAGGTATTTGTGCCAAAAATAAGATTGCCTAAAGAATGCATGCGGAGAAGAGAGAGAGGAGGAAAGATAGATATGGTAGAAAACCAATTTTTACAACTCGAATGAGTATTGATCTCTGAAACCTTCCTTTAAACTATGCAGGGGACAAAAGACAGCTATATAAAAATGGAGTATATGAGAAATACATTATTAATGGCAACTACTAAAAAGCATGGAGACGCAACTACTTATGCCTTTCCCCTCCCTTTCTTTTTTCCTTTTTGTTCACAATCATTTTCCTTTTAATGTAAACATCAGTGTAACCTGCACTTTCCTGAACACCAGTCTAGTTCTAATGGCCTGCTGCCCACAGAGCCAGGACTCAGTGTTGGCCTAGGCAGGTGGACTCAGTGTTTCCTTCTTGAAATTCCACAGATGAGGCCGGGTGCAGTGGCTCACGCCTGTAATCCCAGCACTTTGGGAGGCTGAGGCGGGTGGATCACAAGGTCAGGAGTTCGAGACCAGCCTGGCCAATATGGTGAAACCCCGTCTCTATTAAAAATACAAAAATTAGCCAGACGTGGTCCAGACACCTGTAGTCCCACCAACTCAGGAAGCTGAGGCAGGAGAATCGCTTGAACCCAAGAGGCAGAGCTTGCAGTGAGCCGAGATCGCACCATTGCACTCCATCCAGCCTGGGCAACAGAGCGAGACTTCGTCTCAAACAAACAAACAAAAAAAGAAATTCCACAGATGCTTTCGAGGTGCCATTAGATGGCGTTGCATAGATGTCATGTCAAAGGGCAACCTAAATAATCCCAGGACAAAATGTCCTGGGCCTCACCTTGTTAAAATGCTTTCTATGCAGCCAAAGCTCTATAAGTACTTGTTGAATGAGTGGTTGGGCAGGGTGGGGGATGCATGCTTTGGGGATTCGAGGTGGGCACACCGCCAACTGTGTCATGTGTAGGTTGGCAGGAGGAAGGGATGTTGATAAGCTTAACATTCAAAGGGAAAGATAGCTATGGAATACAGGGTACAGGTCTCTCCGGCTTGCATTTTTCTGCCACTTTCTGCAAGGGAAACTGGAACACATTCATTCAACAAGTATTTATTGAGAGATTTCTTTATCCTGGTCTCCATGCCAGGTACTTCAGTTACACAGTTCCAGGCTATATGCATCTGAATCCTGGCAACAAACTGAATTCAAATCAGATGATTCAAATGAAGGAACTTTGGATTCCTTAGGGAGATGTAGATGGGGTTAAAAGATCCCATAAGAGAGAATGAGGCACCTGGTAAGTAATGACAGCAGGAAGCACCTCTTCCCTTTGGCCTGAAGGAGTGAGAGAAGCAATTCCTTCTTTCAAAGGCCCTGGGAGATGGCACTAGGAAGGAGAGTCTGCTCTACAAGTGCTATGATCATGGAAGGACATGGCTACTGCCAGAACTCTAATGGCAAAGGAGAGAGGGAGCAGTGAAGAGATACACTGACCTCTCTCTCTGTCCTGTCTCGATTTTCCTGCTGGTGACTCCCATTGACCTAACCCAACCAGGTGATGCAGTCATTAGGGGTCCGTTATCCGAGGGCACAGGGCAAGACAAGAAGAGTGGACAGTGGATTTTGGAGGGCAAACACTGGCAAAGCAGCACACCGCCATGGGGCAACAAATGGTCAAGACAACTATAGCATGTACCTTAATCATCCTATGACCTGAAGTATTGATCCATCTTCTATCTTCCCCTGGGCACAAGGCAATTAGTCTCACTCTAGGATTTGTTTTTCCCTATCCCATGGTGAAATAACTTTCAACTGCTGTGATGCATCCTCATGCTGGTGAATTTCTTTTCAAAGAATAGCAATTCCAACCACTCAGTGCATGCTGGGAGGAACATGTGTTGTATGTGAAGTAATTAGAAGTCAACGTGGGTTGAAAATGATATGTAAATCTAAGAGGCTGGCAGTCTGGTTTGCTTTCGCCTGCTGATCAGTGGAGTGGTTCTGTTGCCTAAAATGGTCCTGGGCAAGGATTTCTCTTTTCTCTTTTTTTAGGTGAATAGATGTTGGTTCACTTTTTTTTCCTCTCTAAGGATCTCAGATTGTTTAAATGTCTCTCTGCAGCATTGAGGATAGATTTTTAAGCAGCATCCTATAAAGGGCATTATAGTTGGTTTATAGTTATTTACATTTATCTGGATTGCTGCAAACGCTGCTCAAAAGAAAACAGATGTTGGTTTTTCAGAGAAAGGGCCTTAAACTGACCTTTGCCTTCTTTGATGTGTTAATAATCTGCGTGAAAGCAGCGCTATCACAAGAATCATAGTTTTATCTGAATTTACTTTTGAGTTCCTTTGAAATGACTTGAAACAGCTTTAAGATAGTGAGAAATTCATGTGATGAGAACACCCCATTGGGTTCTGTAGTAGTTGCTGGTGCATGTGTTTCCTTTTCAAAGAATAATAGAAGACCCCAAAGAGTGCTGTCAGGCAGGCTGATCCTTTGACAACAGGCAACATAATATACTATCCCATCAGTTGGCGCCATTAGTATTGACCACTAGTGAAAAGGTACAGGTTATCACAACCCAATTTCAATTTTCTGGCAGATGTTCCCCATCCTCTGCTATCTTTTAACTTTGAGATAACATGCTCCCTACCAAACTTTCTTAATGTCGGTTCCACCACCCTGTTTTTTCCCCCACTCTGGATTTTTTCCCCACCCCCCCAACTCTGGATTTTTTTTTTTTTTTAGATGGAATCTCGCTCTGCCGCCCAGGATAAGAGGGCAGTGGCACCATCTCAGCTCACCGCAACCTCCACCTCCTGGTTTCACATAATTCTTGTGCCTCAGCCTCCCCATTAGCTGGAATTACAGGCGTGCAACACCACACCCAGCCAATTTCTATATTTTTAGTAGAGACAGGGTTTCACCATGTTGGCCAAGCTCGTCTCAAACTCCTGACCTCAAATGATCCGCCCACCTCAGCCTCCCAAAGTGCTGGGATTATAGCCATGAGCTACCATGCCTGGCCCCCTCTGGATGTTATAGTTTTGGGGAACAGGCCATATTTTTAAGTCTTCCTTATCTAAAGATAAGGCAGTGTATTAGGATTTTTCAGGCAAACAGAATCAATAGAATATATATATTATATATATATACACACATATATACACATACACACATGCACATACATACATACATACTCTGACAGAGAGATTTATTATGAGGAATTGGCTCACACAATCCTGGGGGCCGGGAAATCTCACGATCTGCCATCTGCAGGCTGGAGACCCAGGAAAGCTACTGGTGTAATTCTAGACAGAATCCTACAGCCTGAGAACCAGGGAGCCAATGATGTAAATCCCGGGCCAAGGGCGACGGAAGTTAGATGTCCCCGCTCGTCGGGCAGGCAAAAAGAAAAGGGGGGTGAATTCCTCCTTCCTTCACCTTTGTTTTGTATTCACGCTCTGAGATGACTGGGTATTGACCATCTGCATTGGTGAGGACAGTGTGCTTTACTGAACCCACAGATTCCAATGTTAATCTCATCCAGAAACACCCTCACAGACACACCCAGAAATCATCTTTCATCTGGGCACCTCACGGTATAGTCACATTGTATAATTAACCATCACAGGTCCTGCTTTTGAACCTCTGAGAGGGTAGGACCTAGACTTAGCAGCATCACTCACTCCCCTAGCTACCATCACAGTGCCAGGACTCAAAATATTTGCAGAACAGATGAAATTTCCATTTGTATTGCTTATCAAGAAGAGATAGGGCAAAGATTATGAGGTGAATCATAACCTGTATAAGAGACAAATTGCTATCCTGGCTAACACGGTTAAACCCCATCTCTACTAAAAAAAAAAATACAAAAAACTAGCCAGGCGAGGTGGCGGGCGCCTGTAGTCCCAGCTACTCGGGAGGCTGAGGCAGGAGAATGGCGTAAACCTGGGAGGCAGAGCTTGCAGTGAGCTGAGATCCGGCCACTGCACTCCAGCCTGGGCGACAGAGCCAGACTCCGTCTCAAAAAAAAAAAAAAAGAGACAAGTTGCTTTTAACACTAGAGTAACAGAGCCAAAAGAGAAGTTATGATATAGTACATGGCACATTTGAAACCAGACTGCCTGAGTTTGAATCTTGGCTCTGCCACTTATTAGTGCAGCAAATTACTTGAACTTATAATATCTTAGTTTCCCTTTCTGTAAACTGAAGAATGTAAAAGCCCCAGGGGTATTGTGAGGATGAAATGAGTTAAAATGGATAAGCACCTATAGCTGCGCCTGTTGTATTATAAGCTTTTCACAATTATGAGCATTATATGATGGTTTGCTGTCACTATTTTTGTTATTTTTATTTTCTGTTTATTATTTTGACTTAGCATTCATCAAATGAGCATAGAAATCAGAAGTGAGTTTATGCATTTGAAAACAGAGCATTTGCTAACTGTAAGTGCTGGTTTATAGCAGGTTCAGAAGTACCTGCTTTGGGCTACTATAAGCACTGGAAAGACATTTAGCTGCATTTCCTTTAAAATAATCCTGTGGCTTCAGTTGGCCTTGTCCCCACTTATTCTTAGTGATTTTCGCTGTGGATGCTTTCTTCTCGTTTCTCTTAAACTGTGCATCTTCAAACCTAAGAGGCCTGAATTATGTTTTCTTTGTGATATCTGCTCTGTATTCCTGTTAGAACTTGTTGTGTTTTCAAATGTCATTTCTCTTACTCTTAAGAGGTGCTTTTATTTTAGGCACTTTGGCTTTGATATATGCTGGGTGTGATATATGTTGTATATTCATTCTTTGGATATACATGGGAAGTGTCTCATTTATACAACAGATGTGTTTGTGTCTCATGTGAATCAGGTCACATGCACCTTTGAGGGAGGGGGAAAAGAAGCAACTGCTTTTTCGACTTATGTTTTAGCTTGAACAGACTGGATTTTTAAAGGGCATATCAGCAAATGTTTTTTCTTCTTTTCATTTCCACACTAATCTGAAGTTTCTTTAACAGAAAACATTAAAATGTGCATAATTATGGGGCAAAATGTCAAGCAGTCAGTTTAATTTGGTGATGAATACATAGAATTAATGTTTCGCCACAGTCCCAGGATTTTGCATTATGAATTAGTGGGGGGAAGGTCATGTTTTGTTGACATTTGTTAACGCTGTTGATTGCTTGTTTGGCTTGTGTTCTGCCTGCAGGTGGATTTTGCCTTCACAGTGTGGCAGAGCTTCCCCGAGAGGATTGTGGGGTACCCCGCACGTAGCCACTTCTGGGATAACTCTAAGGAGCGGTGGGGATACACGTCAAAGTGGACGAACGACTACTCCATGGTGTTGACAGGAGCTGCTATTTACCACAAGTGAGGAATCTGGACATGTCTCTTACAGACTTTACGTAGCTTTTTATGTTGGCTGCCGCATAAACAGGAACCAAGGCCAAATCTTGTTAACAACATCAGGGAAAATTAGTCTGTATCCCCACTTAAGTTTTGCTAATGTGTCAAATGTGTGTTTTTGAAACCGAAACCTCTTGGCATATTTCATTTCCAGAAATTATGGTAGAGTCACATTTTCAGTTGGTCTGAAGTGTGAAAATACACTCAGGGCATATTAGGTAGCTGAATATTTAGAATAACAACAACAAAAGGAAATACCTAAGTCAGCACCCAAGGGCACTGTTCTAGGTGCTTGGGATTCATCATTGAGTAAAGTAGAAAAAATTCCTTGACAATGCAGGTCTTACATTCTAACAAAGGAAGACAGTCTACATAATAATTCCATAGTTTATTAAGGAAAGAAGTGATATAACAAAAGACAAAGTATAGAAAAGGATCAGGAGTTCTGAAGGTGGAGATGGGGCAGGTTGGGGGTGTCCAGGGTGATTCTAATTGAGCAGGTGAGATTTGAGCAGACTTGAAGGACAGGAAGTTAGTCAAGAGGATATGTGCAGGAAGAGTGTTCTGCCAGGAGAACAGTGAGAATAAATGCCCTGAGGCAGAATACTGGAGAACCATCAAGGAGACCACTGTGACTGGGTGAAATGGGTGACAGGAAGTCAGAAAAGTCAGGGGGCATGGATGCATGACCTTGATGTCCTTGATCATGAGGACTTGACTTTTTCTCTAAGTGATATGGGAGGAGGGCAGGGTTTGAACAGGGTTCGACATGTACAGCATGTCACTGTACTCTGAATGCTATAGGCAGTTTTAACACAGTAATAAATCCGGCAGGACCTTGATGTCCATCATGAGGACTTGACTTTTTCTCTAAGTGACAGGGGAGGAGGACAGGGTTTGAACAGGGAGGAGAAATCCACCTTTTCTTTTATGCATCCACTGTGGATGCTATGTTGATAAGAGGCTATAAGACCTAGAGTTGAAGCAGGAAGCCCTATTAGGAGGTGATTGATTGACATTATCTAGGCAAGAGATGATGAGATCCTGGGACCAGGAAGTGAATGGTGGCTGTGGTAAGTAGTGATCAGATTGTTTTGAAGATGATTTAGCATGATGTCTAGACAGTCTGGATGTACAGTTGATGACTCCAAGTCTTTTGACCTGAAGCACTGGAAGATTCGATGAGGAAAGCTACAGATGGAACAAATATCAGAGAAAATATAGGAGTTCAGTCTTGGATATGTTAAGACATCCAAAAGGATATATGGAAAAAGCTCACGGGTAGAGATACAAATTTGGCAGTTGTTTGCATATATTTGATCTTTAAAGCCAGGGGACTGGAGTAAGATTACCAAAGTAGCGAGTGTAGATAGATAACATTCCCCACTCAACCAGTACCAAAAGCCCCGCTCTTCTGTCATAGTAAAGGTGAACACACCAATCTTGCCTTAGTCTTCTTTAGTAAAGAATAGGGAATTTTGCTATCTCAGGGATAGCTTGGAAATGCTCAAGGCATAAACATTTAGGCTGACTGATTCTTGGTCTCGAGATTTCACTTCTTGAAAGTTCATTGTTCCTATTGCTTCTGCCACCACCACTCAAAGAATCTGATTCACCCAAATGATTTTTCCTATAAATATATGCTATATGTATATAAATACATTTTAAAAACAGTAGGATGAGAAATAATTCAAATTAATTATGGGTTTTCTATTACGATTGACCACCCCATTAATTCAGATTTTGCTCTAACAGGATTGAAATATGTATGGTTTAAGGGCACAAATATAGAACAGTCTATTGTTGGACTCAGAGTCAAGGGATAATATTGAATACAGTTCTGATTAAGCCAATGATTAAAATTGTTAAGCAGCTTTATAATATATAGATCATGTGTAAATAACTTCTCTTGCCATCTAAGTATTTAGTTTTTCTTTCTAACTCACCAGTCTGATATTAGAGTTAGACTGGGCAAGCAATGTCTGTATGTCTGTATCTCGGTGCCTTGTTTCCTCATCTGTAAAATGGGAGTAATAATAGAGCCTGCCTTGTGGCCTCCTTCTGAAGGCTAGATGAAGCATTTCTTGTAAAACCCTTTAGAACACTATCTGGTATATAACAAGTACTGTAGAAGTGATAGTTATCGTCATCATCATTATCATTGTCATCACCATTCATGTCATGTTTAGGGATTCAAAGAATGGGTATGTGTTTTCTGTCTCAGAAGTCCACTTGTCATCATGTGATAATGGTCCCCTGTGAAACCCATCTTTGATTTTTACAGATATTATCACTACCTGTACTCTCATTACCTGCCAGCCAGCCTGAAGAACATGGTGGACCAATTGGCCAATTGTGAGGACATTCTCATGAACTTCCTGGTGTCTGCTGTGACAAAATTGCCTCCAATCAAAGTGACCCAGAAGAAGCAGTATAAGGAGACAATGATGGGACAGGTAAGTGAGTGTAGAAGAGCCCTCTTCCCTTGCTTCACTCACTGGTGGTTCAGCCCCAGGTAATGAGGACTCATGCACCTCTAGATGTTCCACCCAGGAGCATATAATGAGGAGAAACCAGAAATGAACCACATCTGGAAGCTAGGAAAGAGTATATGATCGGTGCAGGGATAATTAGGAAGACACAGGTTAAGAGTATCTTTATGCCAAGAATATAAAGCTGTCCTATAATCTTTAAGGTGACATGAGAAAGATATGTCTCTAGAGTTTGTCTTAGTCCATTTGGGCTACTATGACAAAAATACCATTGACTGGGTGGCTTAAATAACAGACATTTATTTTTCATAGTTCTAGAGGCTGGAAAGTCCCAGATCAAGGCACCAGCAGATTTCATGTCTGGCAAGAGACCGTTTCCTGATTCATAGACAGCCCTCTGCTCATTGTGTCTTCACATGGTAGAAACAAGGGCAAGAGAGTTCTCTGGAGTCCCTTTTATAAGAGCACTGCTCCCATTTGTGAGGACTCCACCCTCATGACCTAATCATCCCACAGAGGCGTCACCTGCAAATATCACATTGAGAATTAAGCTTCAACATATAAATTTTAGGGGGCACAAACATTCGGCCCTCCGCAGAATTAAAGCCCTACAAATAACTTATGAAAGTTGATTGTAGGTACCTTATTTAATGTCTAGCAAACAATACTCTCTTTAACACAGTTTTCTGGTGCTTGCAGTTGAGTTGAATTGTGTCTTGGTGACATAGCAGGAGTCACAATATTCAATTTTCAGTTCTAGAATCAGCGTTTATAAGCTGTAGACAAGTCAGTTTCCTTCTGAAACTCAGTTGACTCATCTTTAACATGGAAATGGTGAACTCTACCTCACACAGTTGAAATAATATGTGAAATAAAAGTGAAGTAAAATATTGTGTTGAGTTATAAAATTGTAGTATTAAAGATATTTTCAAGGAAATAGAATCCAACATTTTCTTTTTACAAATAAGAAAACTAAGAAAACTAGTATCTAGTGAATTTAAGCATATTGCCACAAGTTGTCACTGGGAATTGAATCCCAGGGTCTGTGGATTCCACTGCTTGTCCTTGTACACCCCGGTGTCTTGGTATCAGGTCCATCTGGATATGCTGAATTTCATCTATCTTTATTCATCTTGAGCAGAGCCCCTACTATATGTAAGAAATAAAAAACCTTGGCCAGGCACAGTGGCTCATACCTATAATCCCAGCACTTTGGGAGGCCGAGGCAGGCGGATCACCTGAGGCCAAGAGTTTGAGACCAGCCTTGCCAACGTGTCGAAACCCTGTCTCTACTAAAAATACAAAAAATTAGCCGGGCATGGTGGTGCATGCTTGTAATCCCAGCTTACTCGGGTGGCTGAGGCACGAGAATCGCTTGAACCCGGGAGGCAGAGGTTGCAGTGAGTTGAGATCATGCCACTGCACTCCAGCCTGGGTGACAGAACAAGGCTCTGTCTCAAAAAAAAAAAAAAAGAAAAGAAAAAGAAAAAACAGATAAAAAACCTTAAGAAACAGCATTAAGATTCACCCATGTTAAATCATAGAGTATCCAACAGGATTGAGGTTAATCTGAATGAACATATTTTAACCTGGTTATATTAGTTCAATTTTGAGGGGATTTGCATATGCCTTGGAAAACATATACGAATGTTAAAGAGAGTATTGTTTGCAGGCATTGGAAAACATATACAAATATAGCTTTTGCAAAGGAAATCTTAGCTAGGCCTCAGTTAAGCTGACAGTTTTTCATTCACTAAATTTAGTAAGCAAAAATTTAAAGTTTATAAATAATTTAAAGCTTATAAAAAGTTATTTAGTACTTAGGATGTTATCAGATACTGTTCTAGGTATTGGTTATGACGAAAGAACTGTCCTTAGCAAGAGTCTGGTGGAAAATTCTGTTTCCTTCTAATTATGGAAAGAACAGATAAGAGGATTTGTAAGAATGTTTAAGACTGAGAGACTATTCGAATTCAGGCAAGATGTGTCGTCTATTATGTGCCCAAACATTTTTATTTACATTTTTATTTATCTCTTAAGAATGAGGATACATTCTGAGGAATGCATCATTTGGCGATCTTGTCACCCTCCGAACATTATCAAGCGTACTTACACAGCCCTACATGGGACAGCCTACTCCACACCTGCGCCATATGGTATAGGGCTACTGCACACCTGCGCCATATGGTGTAGGGCTACTCCACACCTGTGCTATATGATGTAGGGCTACTGCACACCTGCGCCATATGGTATAGGGCTACTGCACACCTGCGCCATATGGTATAGGGCTACTCCACACCTGCGCCATATGGTGTAGGGCTACTCCACACCTGTGCTATATGGTGTAGGGCTACTGCACACCTGCGCCATATGGTATAGGGCTACTGCACACCTGCGCCATATGGTGTAGGGCTACTCCACACCTGCGCCATATGGTGTAGGGCTACTCCACGTCTGCGCTATATGGTGTAGCCTATTGCTCCTAGGCTACAACATGTATAGCATGTCACTGTACTGAATACTGTAGGCAGCTGTAACACAGTGATCAATATTTTGTATGTAAATATTTCTAAATACAGAATAGGTACAATAAAAATAGGGTATTACAGTTATATGGGACCAGAGTCATCTATGTGGTCCAACATTGATTGAAATGTCATTATGTGGTGCATGACTGTATATTATCTTATTTAAAGACATGACATTTTAAAAATAATTTTTACTCAGAGTTCTTCAGAACACTCAGTAAGTAGGCAACTCTAGTCATACAAGGCTTCTTATGGGGTGGATTTGTGCTGTTTTCATAGATTATTCTAATTCTACCAAACAGTATTTCTAGTAATTTCTTACATCTTTACAGAAAAATCTAAATTTAACCTTAGGTCTAACTAGGTGTATTCAGGTACTATATTTGCCCCCCTTCTTTCCATCATACACAGTAATTTATTTAATGTTTGTATGACCGGTAAAGTAAATGGATATCATCCTCTAAGATTAGGCTTTTATTACATAAGAAAAACATCTTTTCTAATAGATGTTGGTTGACTCAGAATAAATGTTAACATCTAGAAGCAAAATGATAACCTGAATGATTCAATGAAACTTTAAAAAAATTTTTTTTTTAATAAGAATGAGCATAAACTCTAGAAAGTATTTCTAGTTGCATATATGAGTATTTTTGCCTGAGTACGGCACCCTTTGGGAATGAGTGGGCCAATCAAAAATGACCCACAGGCCGGGCACAGTGGCTCATGCCTATAATCCCAGCATTTTGGGAGGCCAAGGCAGGCGGATTGCTTGAGCTCAGGAGTTCAGGACCAGCCTGGGCAAAATGGCAAAACCACATCTCTACTAAAAATACAAAAATTAGCCGTGCGTGGTGGTGTGCACCTGTAATCCCAGCTACTTGGGAGGCTGAGGCACAAGAATCACTTGAACCCGGGTGGTGGAGGTTGCAGTGAGCTGAGATCACGCCACTGCACTCCAGCCTGGGTGACAGAGTGAGATTCTGCCTTTTAAAAAAAAAAAAGGCCCACAAACTCATATCCATTTAGGGTCAACACAAGTGACGTTTAGGACTGTCTACTCTGATATGAACTCAACCAGTCAGCTCCATTTGATATCTTTCTCTGATTTATCGAGTTCTCCTCATATAAAGGCTGAAGAATGACGCTTGAGTTCTGCCCCTCTCTAGCCTTGAACAAATAACTCTAACTTTCTTGAACTTGCTTCCTCAGCCATAAAATGGGGATATTATTACCTGGGTAGATACTTCACCAGATTGTTGTGAAATTCAAATGAACTCCATGAAAACACTTTACAAATAGTGTTTTGTTTGTTATTCTGCTGTTCAGAGAAAACTTGACATTTGTGTTTATCTTCAGTGTTATTTGTGAGCATGTTGACACTGGGATTTTAAAGTGACTCTTACTGATTCTCACACTAAAATGTATCTTCCCATGAAAGTGTTTTTCTAACAATGTGAGCACAACAAACACATTGAACACACATGCATACATATACATCATTAAAGAGTTGCCTATTGACATAAATGGGCTTGTGGGTTTTTTCCCCATAATTGGGCAGCCCATCTTTTCCATATTCATAAAAACAAGGATTTAAAGACAATGTGCTTAGTCATTCTATTTAAATTTAAATTTCAGCACTCCAGTCATTTAAGGCATTCTTTTTAAATCAATGCCAATCATTTGCATGATCTAAAAATATTTAACCAACTTTAGGGGCAACACAGAGAGCTAAAAAGATGGTAGCCATCTTTTCTGTTCGTCGAAAGTTAATCTTTTTTCTATTCTGGGTGAGCAGTGATTCTTTGGAGGGCTGATTGCCCTTTAAAAAGTAACCTCTGGGGGTTTTAGTTGAATAGGAAAGCCAACAATTCTTGGGTTAAGAGAAGAACAGAATTTTGAGATTTTAGTATAAAGTTAGTTTTACAGCAACATGCCCTATTTACCACTGAATCTCCCCTTCTCATCCTCATGGAGTCACGTCAATGGGAAGGCTACAGAAGAGAAAATGGAATTTTAGATGCTGCATAACACTAGCCTTGACTGACATGTAAAAGGTGCTATTTTGTTCTTCAACTATATACGTGAACTTTTAACAAAGGATTTAGTAGGACCCTTATAAATGTAAAGAGATAGTAGAAGGGAGGAAGTGATGGATAGAGAGAAAGATAGACTTCTCAAGGTAGACTTCTCAAAGTTGGTTGGTATTTCTAAATCAACTACGTAAACAGGAAGGATTTGGAAAACTATCTTTGAAAGCATAAATACATCGTTAATCTTAGTACCTGATCCCAAGAGCAAAGAGAAGTTTTAAATTGAGTCATTGTAGTACTTGAGCTTCAGTTGCTAAGTCATGGTCTGACCAGAGGATTAGTCAATAAATTTTAGAGAGTTAAAGTCAACATGAATCTTTGTTACTGTGTTTTTAACGCTGAGGAACGTAGCATACCTTGGGAAAAACCAGCATCAGCGATTGCATTTTCAGCAGGTGCATAGATGGTGAGACTTGGTGGCCGGGGCAGACCTCGAGCTCTGCTGCTCGCTCATTTGCCTGACTTCATTTTCTGCAGTGTTTCCATCTCACTTTGCATCTCTCTCATCATCATCCTTGTTTCTCTCCTTCTCCCTAGACTTCTCGGGCTTCCCGTTGGGCTGACCCTGACCACTTTGCCCAGCGACAGAGCTGCATGAATACGTTTGCCAGCTGGTTTGGCTACATGCCGCTGATCCACTCTCAGATGAGGCTCGACCCCGTCCTCTTTAAAGACCAGGTCTCTATTTTGAGGAAGAAATACCGAGACATTGAGCGACTTTGAGGAATCCGGCCAAGTGGGGGAGGGGAAGCGAGAAGGGACGGGGGTCAAGCTGCTTTCTCTTCCCAGTGCAGATCCACTCATCAGCAGAGCCAGATTGTGCCAACTATCCAAAAACTTAGATGAGCCGAATGACAAAAAAAAAAAAAAAAAGGCCAATGAGAACTCGACTCCTGGCTCCTGGGACTGCACCGGACTGCTCCAAACTCACCTCACTGGCTTCTGTGTCCCAAGACTAGGTTGTGTACAGTTTAATTATGGAACATTAAATAATTATTTTTGAAATGATTGCTATGCAGGTTTAAACTTTTTTAATGATCAAAACTATTAAAAACCAGAGTTCTTTGTTTAATCAAAATTGTGTTGGTTGTGAATATTTCAAAGCTGCTATTCCTTTTCCCACAGACATCATTGTCATGGCCATGTAGGGTGTCCTGCAGTTTCAAAAGTTCAGACTTCATGGAAAACACAATAAGTCACTCTACCCATTATCAAGAAATAGCTGAGCATAAGTTGTAACGTCATTATTCAACTTTGCCAGTGCAAATTGTTTTCCACTTCGAATCTTCAAATCCACTTGAACTTTTATCTCTAAAATGTCGCTGCATGAAAGAAAGTATGACGACTTCCAGGTAGGCAGTTCTAACTGAAAACTCTATGTTTGAGATAGATACATATGATAATCATTTTTCATTGGGGGGTGGGGGGAAATTAGTATTAGTCCCAAGAAAATACTAGTATAATTAAGAAGTGTTCAGTTTGCACAAAGAATCATCTGGATAACCCACCAGCATGTTAGTGAGATGGAAATACAGACCCACAACAGTAACCCAATACTTGCAGGGGTGTGGGCACGGTTATAGATTCAACCATTGACCTAAGTCTGTGTAGCACTGGGAAAAGGCTTTGGTTTAGAAGCCAAGGAAGAATGAATATATTGGGGAGAACAGATTATTTACAAGATGAACTCTTTAATGTTTGTGAAAATCTCAAGTTTCAGAGTTTCTCTATCGAGAAAGAAACAGGGGTAATAAGGTGGAAATGCACACCAATGAACAAGAGGATTGCTGCAGAGTAACTGAGGAGGTGTCTAGCCATTGGGACCCTGATGCCATTTTCAGTCAAACATTGTTTTGAGCAAGAATCTGGCAAACAAAATAACAACAAATGTGAATACAGTTTCTTGTACTTTTAATTTTTAAATCTGTGGAGAAGTTTAGTTATGCTTCTTGCTGAAAAGAACATTTCTGTCCCTGAAAATGCTATCTTGGGCTTATAATTATTGTTAAATTCCAAGTATAAACTGAAAAAAAAAATCCCTAACTCTATTATGAAAAATGGAGACTTCTGATATTAAATGCTTTCTTCTACTTGGAAGAGGCCAGAGAAAACAGGGAAGAGAAAGATATTATTGAGTTTTACCACTTGTTATGCAGAATAAACAATAAGCACTTGAGAGTCCCTCCCGCAAACTCTCATACATTTCATATTTCTTTACCATTTATTTTCAGTTTTGTTTTAGAAGAAAAGTTCATCAGATAATTTTGTTCTGATAGCTTCAAGTGGCCATCTTAGGTCAGTGGAAACCATAAGTCCAGTGGACTTTACCTCATCCTTTCTTTGTAAACATCTGGGAGAGGAAGAGGAACTTGCAATGATAGCTTGGGGATGATGCTGTAAACAGGAATGAAAGTGTTTGCGGAAGTCCAGAGAGGTGACTCAACAGGCTACCTAGCTGCAGAACAAGGAGTAGGGCCCACATATCCAGATGGTGTTTTGAGACGTGCATAGACAGTGAAGTTCAATTGAAGAGAGGCTTTTCTCTGCAGCCTCATGACTCAGAACAGCTCCCTAAATACCTCTCTCATCTAATTGGACCCATCCGTAGTCCATTCTCAAACATGTGACATTTTCCCTTAAGTAGATGTGATTATCTTTTATGCATTTGTTGAAAAATAATTATTAAGTCCATGGTACTTGCACTTGTGTCTTTCTATAAAACGTTTGGTCTTACAGGTTTTGTGTCATTTAAGCTGCACTTCTCAGTAAGTTAAAAGATTAGCAGTTAATCTTTATTCATTTGGCCTTTGCGAATGTGTATTTAAATTAGTTTTTTCAGGATTGGCAAATTATTCTTGTGTCTTTCTCCTTTACAAAAAAATAAATGCAATATTTTGTTCAGTGACCCCAAAACTAACTTGAAACTTAGGTGGTCATGTTGACTTGCAAAGCAATGTCCCTAATTGTACCAGTCAGTCACACAAGTGGATTCAAGGACCTGCTTTGCCAGACTGACCTGTCACCAAGCTCACAGGACACATGTCTTCCACAAACAACGTGTGTCATGTGAAGAATAATGGTAATTATAAATAAGAACAGGATATGACACACCTTTCGTCCACTTTAAGTCTCCACAGTTTCATTTTATGTCATTCTCTGAGCAAATCTCTTTGGGATGTGAGCTAGCGTGTTCTTCTCCCATTTGGAATATAAGACTGGGAATAGAACAATGCTTAACAAATCAGTGAAGCTCAACAGTAATATGTAATTTTAATTCAGTTAGGAAAGAGTTGTACTGCATTGCAGCAAGTTGACAAATCATAGCCATCTCTGTAGGGTGTCAGGAGTTATCTCCTGGTCAACTTTAATGATAACTAGGGGTCCCGAAGTGGGCTAACATGTGCTGCATTGGAGAGAAGCCAAGGTCCAAGCAAGAGTTCAGTGCCAACCACATAATGAATTGCTTACAGAAATTCTAGAGGACTCAGCCACTTATGGATTTCCACACAGCATCTTTTCCCAGCTCCACATTAAGACACAGGATCTTAAAAGTCATTTTTGTAAAGCTGGCTATGTATTTATTTATTTATATGAAAGGGTTATAAATATCAAAGCTTACCAACACATTAATACGGATCACCTTTGTTCAAGCTAGCAAAGTGGCTCAAACTTGAGACTGTAGAGAAAAATCCATGAAATGATCACGATAGTCATACCACAAAAGATAGCATAGCTAGTTGGGCCTACCTGGTCGTATCAACACATTTTCAGATAGATGCTTCAGAAAAAAGGGAAAGCTTGTTACTGGAATCTTATGTGCATTACACTTTAATTTCTTCTTGTTACCAATGGTGCTCAAAGAAGGATCAATCCGGTTGCATCCTTCAATTTCCCTTTTAGAATGACTTTTGATTTTCATTACAGTAGGCTATGTTAGCCTTTATTTTGGTGGTTCTCAAATACCTGGTGACTTGAAAGAATATTATGCTGGTGGCCTTTCATAAAGGTTACTGAACTTTAATCAGGGGTGAGATGAATGAATGTGAATAGGCCTATATACTATTTTTTTTTTAATTAAAAAAAAAACAGGGCACTTGATTTAAGAACAAACCTGTTTAGAGGGCAGGATCAGGGAAAAGACAGCCTTACTAGGTTGGAATCTGAATGAGATTCTTGCTGGACAAGGCTGAATTGTGGATGCAAAAGCCAAGCAAACTTCCCAGACCTGGAAGTGTCTTGTGTTCCCTTGGGTCTCTGAGAGCTCCAGTATTTAAAAGTAGCAGTTATTGCCATGAACTCTCAAATAAAAATGCTCCTGCCTTTTAATTGTGAATATAATCAACATGCAGCCAGTACATCAGGACCCCAGTTGCTGAATTCATTTACCTAGTTCCCATTTACAGCAACTACGGACAAGAACCTTTCAGATGGTTTTGTCATTCTTGGCCAGATTTAACCAAGAAATTTCTTTGACCACCAGCCTCATTTTCTCAGGCATGCTTACAGGGACAAAGTTGTTTTGAGTTAAGTTCTCAGCAAATAAGCATTAATATCATACTGTGTTAAACTTGTCTCACTTGGTATTAGAACTTCAGCATAAAGAGATTAGTTTATTCTTTGACACCAAGTCTGTTTTTTTTTTTTTTTTTTGCTTTGAGACAGAGCCTTGCCCTGTCACCCAGGCTGGAGTGCAGTAGTGCAATCTTAGCTTACTGCAACCTCCACCTCCTGGGTTCAAGCAATTCTCCTGCCTCAGCCTGCCTAGTAGTTGGGATTACCGGCGTGCACCACCATACTGGGCAAATTTTTGTATATTTAGCAGAGACAGGGTTTCGCTATGTTGGCCAGGCTGGTCTCGAACTCCAGGCCTCAGGTGACCCACCTGCCTCTGCCTCCCAAAGTGCTGAGATTACAAGTGTAAGCCACCATGCTTGGCCCCACGTCTTTTTTTTTTTTTTTTTTTAAAGCTTGGGGGATTAAGTACCCTAAGATAGTGGTCTCTCCCATCAGTTCAATAATGCTGTACAGAACCTCTGGATAAAAAAGCTGTTATTTACACCATAATTGTAATGATGGACGTGACTCCTCAAAACCACCTCTCCCCTTTTTGCCCTTTCCAAAAATCAAAGGCTTTTGTCTCCATGAGTTTTACCTAGTAGGGATTGTAGTTGTCACTGGTCTAGAGTTCCAATACATTTTATATCAGGAACCTCAATGAGCTACCCAGAATTGGACCTTACATGGCCCAGTAACTAGGAGAAGAAGGCAACTCTTGAGAAAGCTGAGCCCTCAGGATAGCACAGTCTCACCCTTGTTTAAAATCAAGTCAGGCTAGCCTTTCAGTCACTCTGGTTTTGTAATGATTTGCCTTTTAGGCCTCAGGCCATTTGATTTCTGCAATAGTTTTCTGTTCTTCTCCTACAGGAATACATCCCCGTCCTTTCGGTTGTAACTATTACTAAAACTAGGGCCATGCAAATGACCTGGTTACCATGTAATGAACCTTGTGTACTTATTTTGAGAGAACAATATGTATAGGATATGTTGAGGGGCAGAAAGAAAGACATCAAAAACTGGAACTATTTTAGGTGGCAAATTGTAACGCAAAAAACAAAAGTATACCTTATTTTGTATACGATGTACATTTGGGACAGAGTTTTCTAATATGTTGCCAATGTTTTTGTAGTGTCACCACAGGTCTTTTCTGAAGTGTTTTCCCCATTTGTTATAGAGTATTAATGACTTAGCATAATTAAGCCCTCAAGTATGTGTGAGAGAGCGCGTGTGAGAAAATACAAAGCCATAGATCTTGATTTACTTCACTGACCTGTGTAACTTTATGTCTGGGTTTCGCCATCCAAGATAGATTGTTTTATAGAGAGTGTCACCAAAGACTTTTTCCTTCCAATTTATAGAAGAAAAAAAGAAATTATTAATAAATGACATGACTTTTCATCTGTGTGGTTTTCATTCCATCTTTTCTGTTGACTGCAGAAAGACGCCAGTTCTCAGGAGGATTCTGTGTGCCAGGAAAGGCCAAGCTTCCTTGGGGGTTCTGGGGTAGACAGGCAGATAAGG